TTCACTAGTCAGCTCCTCGGAGCGTTTGGTAAGGCTCTTGGTCTTACATTCTGAAGGCACCGCTGGGATTCCTGGGTGTGCTTCACTAGTCAGCTCCTCCGAGCGTTTGGTAAGGCCCTCGGTCTTAAAATGGGTGTTGCCAGGTAACTTGGGCTGGGAAGATGCGCTGTACTTTGTGGTCTAACTTCGTGGTTTTTTATAACATCCCGTTCTGTGTTCTCCCCGCCCACAGACAGCACAGCCTGTATCTGTTTTTTTAGCTGCATGTTTTGCTGAGGGCTGCAGTTTTTTTGTATCTGCTGAAACTGTAGCTTGGAATTAAACAGCACATTCATTAAACAGGTCATGGCCAGATCAAGCCTGACAGTCACAGTGAAGAAAGAGGACACTTGCCGTGGAGACTTTTCTGAGACAATGGCAGTCACCAGCTGTCTGTCCTGTGAGCACAGAAGTGGCGAGGAGTGGAGTTTGTAACTTCATTTTAGTTGACTTTAATTTAAATAGCCATATGTGGCTATTACATAATGACCACCACACTGAACAGCACTGTTCATTTTACAGTCTGCCTCTTCCGCCTCACAAGGTATCTAGCTGTGGGCTGTGGGCCTGAGCAGGGGCTTTTCATTTCAGTCCATCATGCACTTCGAACTGATGTGTGTGCACAGTGTGCTCACCTTGGAGTGTGGTTCGGGAACAGCCCCAGCCTCCAGAATGCTAGGGAGTGCCTGCCCGGGAGCCGCCCCAGGCCGAGGCTCACGTCTGCCCACATCCACAGCCCGCTGTTCTTGGGGCCCCTTGACTGAGCACTGTCCCTTTCCCTCGAGGTCACCAGCTCCTGTGTGTGATCGATTGGCTGTCGCAAGTGAGCAGGTCCGCATCTGAAGTCTTCTTTGCTTTTCTTTCTCAAAATGTTTCTGCTGCTGTGCGTCCTCCACGTCTCCGTATCAATTTTGAAACAGCTGCTGGATTTCTACAGAATGAAAAGCCTGCTGAGGGTTTGGGTTGGATTGACCCAGACCATGGGGTGGGGGTGTTTACATCGACGAGCCTTCGAACCTATGAACAAGGCATCTCCCCCCACTCTTAGAGATTTCTCAGCCAGGTTTCGTAGCTCGTTACAAATACTAATCTCTCCCAGTAATGGTTCATCATTTTCAGTATCAAGCACTTACACATTTTCAGTTAGTTTACTTCTTAGATACTTTACAATTTTTTGATGTTATTGTAAAGTGATTTTAGATTTTATTTTCTAAGCGTGATAGTCAGCTGTGGTGTCAACGTAAGAAGAGCCCGGCTGACCGGTTCTGGCTGTGTCTGGGTGATGGACTTACTGAAGGAAGACCCACCATGGGCGTGGGTGTGGACGGTGCCAACCAATGGGCTTGCGGCCTGGGTGGAATAAAAGGGAAGAAGGCTCACTTCTGTGTCTTCAGAGGAGCTCCAGCCTTCACCTTTGCCTTTGGGTGTCTGTTTCCGGGCTTCAGTGCAGACTCTTAGCTTCCTGTCATGGACTCCATGGGACACTGCTGTGAGCTCTGCGCCTCCCCTCTGACGGGACGTTTGGCTCTCAGGCACACAGACGGCCCTTTCACCTCCCACAGCTGACTGCAGGCAGCCACTGTGACCCTACCTTGTGAATCATGTATCTTCACAGTATTACATTAAATCTGTTCTAGGGAGCCCCTCTAGTACGGGATACACCAGTGCTTGTTGCTAGTATTTAGAGGCACAGTCGTACTTTGTGCCCTGTGACCTTGGTAACTGACCTATCTTACTGTAGGGTTGAAACTGGCCCTGGTCTAGTATTTTAGTGGTTTGTTAGGATGCTTGGCCTTGACAGACCCCTGTGGACAGAGCACACCTCTTCCCTTCCACTTCTCTCCCTTTCCTGCCAAATCCCGTCGGCTCTCCCATGTGGCTTCCCCACCTACGGCACACAGCTCTTGGTCTCTTCACAGCACTAATAATGTCACTGCAGGCTTCCTGAACAGCTTATCTGCAGCCAGTGTGGCCTCCCCAGGCATGGTGGGGCCCAGGGGCTCTGTCCCCAAGGATGTGTCATGTGGCAGGCAGGGGACTGGGTGCAGATTCTGGCAGTGAGGACGGGGGTCAGGCTTCCAAACAGTTGGCTTCCAACCCCACCTTGCCCCGGCTCCACTCCCACCGGCCCTGCTTATTCCCATGTCTTCTGAGCATCCTCTGTCCTGTTGCTGTCTGATATTGCTATTCTGACTGTTGGTCCAGGGTGTGGCCTCTTCTGCACCCCCAGGAGGTGGCCCTGAAGCTGCAGGGGGAACTGACAGGGTCAGAGTGGAACTGCAGCCCAGGGACCTGTGTCCAGGGAAGGGGGAGCAGGGACAGCCCAGGGCACCCCAAGGTGGTGAGGCGAGGGCCCCGCTCACCCAGCAGGGGCTTCCTGGGGCTTGGGGAGTCAGACCAGGCCCTCACCAGGCTGCCCACCAGGACTTCCTCACCCACAGGGCAGGGCAGCCCCTGTGCTCCCTCGTGCAGTCAGTCAAGGCACCCGGATAACGTGGGCCAGAGCCCAGGACAGTGCGGAGCACTAACCAAGGTCGGCTAGACAGAGCCTTTCTGCCCTCCTCCAATGGGATCTGTCTGTGCCCGTGTCTGGGCTTTGGCAGGAAGAGGCTGCTGTGCTTGTTAACTGTCGATGAGCCCTGCTCATAGAGGCCGTGACTATGCCAAGAGCCCTCCTGTCCTCGGTCCTCATCCTCACTGGCTCACTGGAGGGAAACTGAGGCTCAGGGCTAAGCGGTTGCCCTGAGGCGCACCCTAACCAAAAAGCCCCTGAGCCCGGGACCAGCCTCACCTCAGGTCCCACTGGGAGGAGGTAGGGACGGGAGGCTGGCCACAGACAGCAGTGGCTGGGCAGACAGCCCTGGGCCTTGGGAATGTGGCTTCTATTTGGTGCCACACGGGACACTATGGGAGGTCCCTGCCCGCTGCTGTGGGCTGGGCTGCAGGGTCCACCTGACCTCACCCCAGGGTGGGAGACAGGGGCTCTGTGAGCCTGCTGACCCAGTGTCCATGGGCAGCCATGACCCCTGCAGCCCACGGGCATCCAGGGACCGGAGCTCACTCTGGTCTACCACCCTCCCAGCAGCCCATGCTGCCCCGCACATGGACGAAAACACGCAGGAGCCTCTTACAACATATGATGATTGATGTTCAGGACCCAGGGACCTGGCCGCCCACCACTGAAACATCTGCTTTAGCTCGTCTTGACCTTTGGGTGCAACTGACACTTTCTCACATTGAAGCCCCCCAGGCCAGTGCTTGGGGTCTGGGATTGTAGGCACCCAGAGGTTTCTGGAGGCCCTTCCTGCTCTCCCTTCAGGCCACTGGCCTCTGAGACTGCTGGTCACCATGGTCCCACCCAATCCACAGCTGCTCCTGCAAGAACCCCGGGCCTCCTGTGGCCAGGAGACCTGCAATACAGCTTAGCCAAGCTTGAGCCTACCCAAGAGGTGAGGGACAGGCTGGCAGGAGCTGCCCACAGGTAGGCACCATTATGGTCTCTGTGGGTAGTTTCCTCCTGGCTGAGCCCCTCGCTGTCTGGTCTGTGTGGTTCCCCTCCCTGAGGTCGGGGACCCACCCCTACCTCCTGCTCTCAGAGGGCAGCACTGCCAACCCTCACTTCATCCACGTGGGGTCATCCCCGGAGGCTGCCCTGTGCCACCCAGGAAGGACAATGTCCAAAGCTCTGCCCTGCAGTCTAGCCTGCAGCCTGAGGTTGTAGACATCATCTACTCTCCCTTGAAATTCCCCCAGCAATCGCATTCCCCCTTTCAAGCCAACAACCCCCATTTTAAATGTTTGAGATTTGTTTCTGCTGTTTTGTACACACGAAGACCAATGGGTGGGGGCCAGGCTGTCTTGGTAGGTGGCCAGGACCCCCAGGGAGGGTGTGAGGGACAGGACCTGCTCTGTCCAGGAGGACCACTCTGGGTGGGGAGAGGGGCTGGGCTTCCTACACTTCCCGTAGCTCAGCCAGGCTGAGGGGCATCACCCAGGTGCCTCAACCTCCTGGACACCGCCTTGGACTCCGGGGTGGAGCCTCTTGCTGAGAAGACGTGCGGCACCCTTGAAGGCACTGAAGTCAGTCCAGAACGGTCTGGCGGCTGCCTGCTGGGTGCCCTTTGGTCCCTTGCCTGGGACCTGGGGTTCCCAGGTGGCTGCCCCACCCCGACTGCTCAGTTCTAGCCACCAGACTTCTTTGTGCCCAGCTCCTCCAGACCGTCTTTGCTTCCCTCCTGCTAAGTGTGGCTCTGGGCTGACGGGCAGGTCTGCAAAGCAATGGGCAAGGGGCGGGGGGCTGCGGCCCAGCCCAGCCTCTAGGAGCGTAGCTGGCTGTCAGTCCCCTGCGGAGCGTCTCACCGGCTAGGCGCAGGGGGAGAGGGGGCCCACCGTACTTCCTAACTCGGCTTCCCGCTGGCCAGGAGGTCACGCGAGGGAGGCGAGGGTCTCACGGCTGCAGAGCCAGGCACAGGCTCTGTGACCCGGGCGGGTCGGGGCGCGGAGGGCGGCGCCCCGTCCCAAAGCCCGAGGTCCGGCCGGCATTCTGGGCCTGGGGCTGGGCGGGAGCACAGGTCCTAAGCGCGTGGGGCGGCAGGGCCCTGAGGGCGGGGAGGAGACCTGTGGCCCTGAGGCCCGCGCGGGTAGGGCCTGGGTCCGGGTCGGCCGGGCGCGCCGGAGTCCGCGGAGCTCCGGGAGGGACTCGCGGCTGCGTGGCCAAGGACGGGCGGTGATCGCGAGAGGGTCGGGCCAGCGGGGGTCACAGCGGCGTGGCCGGGGGACGAGCTCGAGGACACAAGACCTGCTGGAGGTCGCGCGTCAGGACTGGAGAGCGCACGCGCACCGTACGCACGTGATCCCGGCAGAGTCGCTCCCCGCCGCGCGAGTCCCGCCTCTCAAGGGGCGTGGTCGGGTGGCCGCGCGCCCTCCTAGCAGGCCCCGCCTCCGCCGCGCTGCATTGTGGGTACTGTAGTCTGTTTGCGCGCGATCAGCCCCGCCGCGGATCACCGAGCCCAGGCACCATCAGTCTGTGCGAGCGAGACCTGCACGCGGCCAGGACTGCGGGGTACGTGTGGTGAGTGCGGGGTGCAGGCCGGGGTGTCGGGGTCCGTGAGTGAGTGCGGGGTGCGGGCTTGGGTCCGCGGGGTGGCGGGGTCCCTGGGCGCGCCGGGGGCTGAGCAGGCTCAGGGCGCCCGGGCGCGGAGCAGCAGCATCGCCGCGGGTTCCCTTCTGCGACTTCCCGCGCGGCTGCCAGGTGGAGGCCGGGAACGCCGCTGCCCCGCCCGGCCCTCTGCGGGTGAGCCCTTTCCCTCCAAGGCCCTTCCCGGCGGAGGAACCGCGGGAACCAGCGAGTGTCTCGGGCCCGCCCTGCAGCCTTCCCCACGTGCAGTGCGCCGGGGAAACCCCTGCCCACCAGGGCCTGGCGCGCCTCACTGTGGCACCGGAGGTTGTAGGTGCTGGACAGCTCGAACAACTTCCCCTTGCAGCCGCGCTTGGCCCTAGTCCTGCAGAGAACCGGAGGTGTCTCTGGCCTGGACAGTGGGCTGCTAGTCTCGTCATTCCTGAATGGTTTTCCAAGGTCTCTAGCACAGTGAACCAGTCCCAGGGCTTGTTCCCATCCGCATCCGAGAGCTGCTGGGGAGTCTGGCCAGCGGCCCAGGCACATACTGCATCTTCACAGGACTCCCCCGCTGTCTGTGGCTGTGCCCTGCCACTGCCTGGCCTCAGGACACAGGTGGAAACCTAAGCTGGTTCCGAATTCCAGAACGCAGCTATTGCTCAACTTCCCATAGTGAAGATAGGGTAAATTCCTCAGTGGTGCTTGCCAGGCCACCCTTTGGAGAAGTGACCTCACCCCAGGGAAACTTAAGGAGCCCTCAGCAGTCCTGAGGGCGCAGCAGAATGCAAGATCCTCTGGCACAGCGCAGCTACCTGCCTCCGTGCCCCTGCAGGTGGCTGGCTGCCTTTGCCTGGGACCTTTAACCCACATGTGGCTATCTGTGCTGGGCCAGGTGAAAATGGACGAATCCCGGGGTGTTTGGGCCTGCATCACTCATACCCAGAGGGCTTAACTATCCCACCTGCTCCTTTTCCTTTTCCCTTTTTGACTGGCAGTTGTTCTGAAAATGTAAGGAACCTTCCTGATCTGCTTTGAGAGTGTAGCTAGCTTAAAAGAGAAGACTGTTTACTTTTTTTTTTTTTTTTAATCTTGGAGTTGTGGGGAATGGAGGGTGGGGGAGGGTGCAGCTGGTGCTCTACCCTGCCATAAGGACAGGTGCTAGGGGTTGTCAAGAGGAACAATGGGGTCCTCCTTCATGGCCCCCTGTCTGCCCTGGGACTTCCTTCTGTTGCCTAGAAGAGGCTGGAAGTTGCACAGGGCTAGGCTGGAGTCCAGCCCAGCCCTGCCCTTCTGTGCGCTTCCATGCTGTTTCTGCAACTGTGAGTACCTCGAGGGATCTTGGTCTTTCCTCCCTGAGCCAGCCTGCGTCACAAGGTCAGCAGGTGGCCGTGCTGTGGAGAGGAGGAGATTTGAGTCTCAGCCGTGTGGGAATGACATCATGGTTACCTCAGGTGGTGTGGAATAGGTTGGAGAGAAAATGGACCGTGGAGACCTTGGCTGGCCCTTAGTGCCTGTACCGTTGGCCCAGAGAGGAGCTGAGAAAGAGAAAGACTCCCCTGCCCTGTGCTCTGAAAGGCTGTGCATGTAAACTTCGGTTTGGACTTGCAGTGTTCAGCATTTTTTCCATCAGGGGCCAGTGTTAACAGATTTCGAGTAAGACTGTGGACTTTTGGCCTTGTTCCATTGTGGCAGCCAGGGCTTAAGGGCCATGACCAGATTCCTCCCCTCGCCTGTGTTCTGTCCCACCTCACTATTCAAGTTACTCTGTCCTCTGCCCCGTCGGCACTGGAGCAGTTGGCAGCTTCACCCTGGACTAGAAGTTTTTGGCCGTGTGCATGGGTAGTGCCCACCTACCCTGTTTAGTGCTGTGCAGCAAATCTAGGCTGGTGGGCAGGTGGTCCGGGGCTGTGCCCCCACCCCAGGAATTAGGAAGGGCCTTGCCCTGGTGAAAGGGAAGGTCTTTGTAGTTCTCAGGAAAGTGCCTAAATCAGAATAAAAGTGACTATCTCCAGGGGGCCTGGGGCTAGCAGCTGCTGCTCCTTACCACTTCCTTTTGGTTGCCCTTTCTGGCCGGCCCCGTGGGATGAAAGGTCCTCTTTGGACTGATCTTTGTCCAGTGCTGCCTGGGCCTCTTGGCTCCCTTCAGGGGGCAGCCAGGGGTCCCTGGAGCCCGGCGGGGAGTAGAAAGGAGGCCAACTTCCTGAGGCATATTGGACATTCCTCTGGGGACCCCTGCCCGGAAGCTGGTCCCTGGGCAGCTGGGTTACTCTGAGCATGTGTGTGTGGAGACAGTCCAGGAAGGCACCGGGCCTAGCAGGGAGACCTGCCAGCTAGGAGGCTGCAGACTTGGAGCATGGTCCCAGGAGGAGGGCAGAGGTGTGTGTCACAGAGCCCACTCTGTGGGGGACATGTCTGACCCCTTGGCAGTCATGTGGTCAAAGAACACGGGTCCCAGGAGCTTTGGCCAGTCTGCTGGGCCTCCTCACCAGGATTAGGGCACCCCCACTCTGATTCGGCAGTGTCCCCAAATGGCCGGAGGGGGCTGGAAGGAGTAGCTGCGAGCAGCCCTGAGCTGGGCTGGGAGGGATGGGACAACACTTGCAGGAGGCAGCTTTGGGACTCTGCCCAAAAGGCCCTTTGGCCAGCCCCATGTGTGTTATGGGTCACTGGACATCAGCTCGGGTGGCTCCTTACCTATGGCTCCCCTGTGTGTGCCTCACAGTCCTGGTGGATGAGCTGGGCTGTCCACTTCTGGGGCCCATCTGAATGCTGGTGGGGGCTGCCGTGCCAGGTCTGTAACTCTGGAACTCCATGCCACTTCAGTCCCGAGAGTGGCCTCTGCTGGTGTGGTGAGCCACCTACTGCAGCTTTCCTGTGGGATATGTGAAGGGCAGCGTCCGGGGCTGCACCCTGAGCTTCAGACAGATGGGGGGCTCCCTAATGAGTTCCACAGCAGCCTAAGAAATGCCCAGGGGTCAGGGAGGTTGTGGGAGCACTGTGCTGGCACCTGGGAACTTCTCTCAGGACCTCGGATCTGAGTGACCCCAGTGAGGACTGTCCTCTCAGCCAGGGGTGGCACCTTTCCAACAGGGGCCAGGCCCTGGGTCTCTGAGCCAGTGGCCTGGGCCCTGCCAGCAGGGCCAGTGAGTCAGGTGAGTACCGCTGTGTAGCAGTGAGCTGCCTGTGGGCGCTGCCTGGCCTGGCTGGCCCCGCTGTCCGTGCAGGGTTGCTGTGGAGGGCTGAGCCGGAGCCTCCCTGGCACTCAGCCCTCGCAGCTGTTTCCACTCGCTCCCAGGGAGGCTGGGAAAAGCAAGGCCAAGAAAAGCAGCCTCGGAGTTTGTTCACTTGAAGGAGCTTGTCTTGCACCTGCGTCTCCTCCCTGGTGCTCAAGAGGTGGCCAGGCCCTGGCATAGCTTCTTGCTTTCATTCTGGCCCTCTGAGGAGGTGGGCCCTGTCCCAGGCCCTGTGACTCTCAGGGTCACTGCGGCTGCTGTGTGTCACCCTGTGCCCCTGCTGGGGCTCTGGGATTCTTACAGCTGCTTGAATCCCAGCAGCCCGGACAAACACAGAGGTCCTGCTGCGACGCCACACTCTCCCTTCTCACAGAAAGGAACCTGTTGGGACCTAGAGGATGGGGTCCCAGGCAACCTCAGTAGCCACAGGCATTGCCTGTGCAGGCCTGGGTGCCTGGACACCAGTGGTTCCTGCAAGCCCCTCAGAGAGTAGGGGTCAATTCCAGCCTGCAGAGTCAGCCAGGGTCCAAGTGCTGGGCATCTGGGCCCCCAGAACTGGTCCTGTCATGACTGAGAGCTTTCTCTGCCCCTGCCTGAGGGCTGGAGGGGTTCTCCCTGCTTCCAGACCCTATGCACAAGTCCTCCCTTAGCACTGGTGGGAGCAGAGTTGTCCAGGCACCTGTGAGCCCGCACAGGAGGGATGGCGGCCCGCACGCTCCGTCCTGCCTGCCTCCTGTGTCTGGGCGCACTGCCCTCTGTACCCAGCATGTCCCCACCCTGCCTTAGCCACGGATGACACAGGCCACCAGGTGAGGCCCGGACCCAGGGAGTGGAGAGGCTGGCTTCCTTGTTGTCATGGGTGGTCCCCGCCAGGCATCTGCCTCGTGGCAGCTCACCTTTTAGCTGCAAGGTAACTGGCAAAAAGTGGCAGGAAAGTAAAATCTGGCCTTACTGACGTGGTAGGCAGGTAGGTGTGGCCCTGCCCCACTACACAGGACAGCCAGCAGCACACGGGACACATCCGCATAGCGCCAGTGGGTGGAGCCTCTGTGCCGGACAACATTGGAAGAGAGAGCTGAGCAGACACCTCACACGGCCAGCTCTGACCACCCAGAGTGCCCCAGGCCTGCGTGGTGGGAGGCCAGCCTCGGGGACAGCAGGCTGGATGGCTGTCATTTCGGGTGCTCCACCCAGAACGTCACGGCTGTCTCCCGGTGCCAGCTTTGGGCTGCTCCTGGGCACGGGCTCTGGGCTAGGCCCAGTCCCTTTTCACACCTGTTTTGCCCCACAGCTGCCCTCAGCCCCTGGCAGGCACCTGCTTCCCTGCCCCCTTCCCCAGTGTCCTGTGACTGTCCCCAGCCTATGGAGAATCCACTCCAGAAGTCCTCCAGCCTGTGGCTTGTGGCAGGTGCACACCATGCCTCTTGTCCCCTCTCTGGCCCTTGGGTGCTGTTAGGACAGCAGCTGGCATGGGACATGTCGGGTCCATTCACCTCTGCCCACACCAGCCGCCAGCTGCCAGAGGTGCCCTCTGCAAAGCCCATCGGGGAAAGGGAGGGAACGTGGTCCGAGTCGGGTACACAGAACAAGTGCCATGCCTCCAAACATGGATGTTGGACATTATTAATATAGTTAATAAAGTCAGCAAATTTGTTTGTTAACTTGGCTTTAATGAACCTTTAAGTGACTATTGTGGGCTGGGGTCAGGCCTGGAGGCTTCTGTCTGCCCTGGAGACCCAGGAGGCAGTGCCAGCCTGGTATGGGACTGGACTTCTAGGCTCAGGTGATTCTCAGGTTGACACTAAGGACTGGTCAGGGACATGGCTCTGGGCTGTTGCTATGTCCAAGCTGATGCTGGCTCCTAGCTGAAGGAGCAACAAGCCAAGCCCTGTGGGGGCCCTGTGCCATACTACCCTGACTCTCAGTTCTTCCCTCCAGGTGGAGTGTCGCCTTCAGTCCCCTCCAGGGTACCGGGCGGGCCTGGGTGGAATGATGCCCTCGGGCCAGGTGGAGGAGAAGCAGGCACCCGAAGAGGAGCCCGGGCCCAGCCCAGAGCACAAGGCATGGCGCAGGCTGGTGTTCTTCCTCTGCTTCTACGGCTTCATGGCACAAATGCGGCCAGGCGAGAGCTTCATCACCCCTTACCTGCTGGGGCCGTGCAAGAACTTCACGCGGGAGCAGGCATGTGGACACGGGGTGCTGGGGGACAGGCATGCTGGGGTGGGGCTCTTCTCACGCTTGGCCCTGAGCGGCCGAGGCTGGGGAAGGTAAGTGTCTGCAGGAGGTCACAGGGTCTGGAGGGCTGAGATGACTCCGTACCCACCATGCCCCACAGATTAAAATGGCCTTAGATCTCGTGGAGGGACCCTGTGTCTGCCCTGGGATATGGGAGGATGGACAGGAGCTGGTGCCTGCAGGCGGGCCACCCTGGCCTCTGGGTGAGAAAGCCCCCAGCCAACTGTGTCCAGCCTGCTGGGCTCCCGCCTCCAGCAGGGACTAAGCAGCTCTTTGTGGAAAGAGATTAGTGAAGGAATTTTCCTTTCACTCAGCCACAGGACAGGGGGTCTTATTGAAACCCTACTAATAAGCTTAAGCCCAGACACAAGGCCCGAGCCTGGTGTGTTCTGTTTTGAACTTCGGTTTCGTGCTTTGTGAAACATGACCACACGAAGACAGGGTGACCAGGGTGACCGTGTCCTCGCCTCCCTGCCTCTTTCATTCCCAGCTGGGCTCGCTGCCCACACCCAGGTCCCAGCATGTGTGTGAACCTCTGTTAATATGGGACAGCAGGGGATGTAGCGCAGCAGCACCTCGCCTGCCTGGCAACTGTGAGGTCCTGAGTTCCATCCCTGGTACCGAAAACAAAACAAAACAAAAAGACTTGGGACAGCTATCACAAAAATGTTAGAAATCCTGCCTTCCTGCCCTCGAGCAGGACAAACATAGATTAAAAGTAGATTCCAAGCCGGGCGTGGTGGCACATGTCTGTAATCCCAGCACTCTGGGAGGATAGCAAGTTTGAGGCCAGCATGGGCAGCTTCGCTAGACTCTGTCTCAGAATCGAAGAAAGAGCTGGGGGTATAGCTCAGTGCAAAAGCCCTGCGTTTAATTCCCAGTACTGCACAAAAGGGAAAAGTCGATCCTGGAGGTTAAGCCATTCCCAGGTGTGGACACCTTTGGAGTGATGGCCAGAGGCCCCCACAGTCCCGTGGCCAAGTCCTCTGGCCTCTGGGTCCTGAATGGTACCGGGTAACCTTGTCCTTGCTGGGCCTGTCAGGAGGGTCATGTCAGTGGTGTCTTGGGACGCATCTTCTAGGACCTTCCTGCATGTCCTTTCATGTGGAGGATTCATCCACATAGGATCAGGGCTGGTCTTGGGGCTTGCCTGTGATCGGGCATAAAGCCACAAAGCACTGCTGCAAGTGCTTTGCAATGGGGTGAACAGTGGCTCCCATGGCTCCCAGATTCTCATTAGTCCAGTCCTGCCTGTGGGTCCTGGCTGCCCAGGTCCTGGCCTTGCCCTGGTCTAGATCAGGATTCACCTAAGCCCTGGGCGACAGCCAGCAATGGTGGGTCTAGCCACTAGGAGGGCATCCTGTGTCAGCCCTGGCCTCTGACTGCTATCTGTACCCACTGGGCCCTTTGTGAGTGGCCTTCCCCCAGCGGCTTTCCTGGGGGCCCAGGTCACGGCCCAGGGGAGGGCCTCCGTGTCCACTGGCGGAGTCTGGGAGCAGTGGAGCAGGCTGCAGATTTGAGGGTTCTGGGGGTGCAGGGGTGTCTGTTGTCCACCCAGCCCCTGCATCTGGTAGGCAGAGCTCTGCAGCAGGAGCCGGAGCAAGACCCAGAGGGACCTGGCTTCTGGCCAGCCCCAGCTTGGAGAGCAGATTGGTGGGGTAGCTGTCCATAAATGCAGGGTGTGGCTTGGCCCTCCCTCACCGGGCCTGCTTTGCCGGGGCTCAGACCTGGCCTGCATGCAAGCCAGTGGTGGTGTGGCGCTGTGGTGCCCTTGCACACCTGAGCGGCTCCCTTCCACATCCTGCCTGGTAGGGGCTGGGCAGGCAGCAGGTAGTCCTTTGATGTCCTCAGGATCTCACCATCAACAAAGATGCAGCCCCTGCGGCTGGGCCCCAGCAGGTCACTCAGCATTCTGAGGCCTGGCCTGCTCTGAGAGTGCCCTTTAATGTCCCTGTGTGAACAGGGCAGAGGCCGAGGACCCAGAGCCTTTGGGCTCCACCTTCTGGGGCTGCTCTGTGATGTGCAGGGCGGGGAGTCCCCAGCCAGGTGAGACCTGCTGCTCTGGGTGAGGTCCTCTGACAGTCTCCCTGCAGCCCTGTGGGGACTCATCTGCTGGTCCTCAGCCTGCCACGTCTGGTGTGGGGTCCTGCAGCTGGCCCTAGGGATGCCAGGAACATATCTGGGTCTGGGGAGGCAGTGTGGCCGGGCACAGGCCCCTGCATGCTGCCCCAGGGCTCAGGCCCCGTCCCTCCATGTTCAGGCAGTCAAGTGGGGCTGTGGGTCCCCCAGGCAGGGCTGTGGGGTTGCCAGCGGTCAAGTCAGGATTAATGCCAAAGGCTGGGGGCACTTGAGCCACATCTTGGGAAGCCCAGCAAGGCCTGTCTGCTCCCGTCCTACACCTGGCAGCTCTAAGGTGGGGTGGGGAGCCGAGGCAAAGCCACCCACTGAAACCCGCCTCAGCCTGGCAGGAGGCTCTAGGCACAGGGTGGGCCTGTCTGGTCGGCAGGAGAGGCAAGGCCGGGCATCTGGGCCTCCTGTGGGGAGAAACCTCTCCACAGTGCTCAAGGCTGGGCCCACCTGGGTCGAGGCTGGGGCAGGGCCCTCTGCCCTCTGCCCTGCGCCTGCCTCTGTGTCTCTGGAAAGGAGCAGGAGCAGCCCAGGGAGCCCAGCAGCTGCTGCCCTGGCCAGGGCTGTGGTGTTCATTTCCCATGGCACCAGCCCCTGGTTCGGCGCCGTGGGGTGGGGTCAGGTGGGGCGGGGCAGTGGCCTCATTCTTCCACAGCCCCTTCCCCCAACAGGCACTTACCCATTTTCTGCTTCCTGGGACAGAGACTGCCCTAAAGCCCTGCTCTGGGACTTTGTGGGGCTGCAGAGCCCGGACTCTCCAGCCCTTCTTACTGCTCTTCCTTCCTTTTCTCTTGGTCTCCCTCCTCTGTGACCTGTCCTGAGTGCGCCCTGTTCTCCCCTCCCTCTTACCTTGTCTTGATCCTCTCTCCTCCTGTAAGGATGGAGCTGGCTTGTGTTGGTGTCTTCTGCCCATGGTACTGCTCCCCACATTGTTAGATCAGGACACAGTCAAACCAAATCTAGAGTCCAGTAAAAATAAGAGTGCCTAGGTTAGTGTGATAAACTGTGTAAACAATGGTTTTCCCTGCATAATTGCCAGCTTTCTGTAGGCAACCACTTCTTCCTCCGACTGTATGGGGTCAGCAGCTTCTTGGGCTGGGTCAGTCTCAGGCCCCCAGACATCCTGGGTGGGCTGATGATGGGCTGGGGAGTGAGAGGCGGTCACAGGGCCTGCACAGCGTGGCAGAGAGGCAGTAGGAGCTTTGCAGAGTGGTTGGCTGGGATGATGGGTGCTGGGGCAGGGCAGCCCCCAAGGCCAGGCGCAGGCACTCAGAGTGGCCAGCGTTGCTAAGGCCAGACGCCCTGTCCACAGGTGACCAACGAGATCACACCGGTGCTATCCTACTCTTACCTGGCGGTGCTGGTGCCCATCTTCCTGCTCACTGACTACCTGACCTACAAGCCAGTGCTGGTGCTACAGGGCCTGAGCTACGTGTGCGTGTGGCTGCTGCTGCTCTTCGGCAGCTCGGTGCCGCACATGCAGCTCATGGAGGCCGTCTACAGCATCACCATGGCCGCCCGCATCGCCTACTCTTCCTACATCTTCTCGCTGGTGCGGCCTTCCCGCTATCAGCGCATGGCCAGCTATTCCCGGGCCACGGTGCTGCTGGGTGTGTTCACCAGCTCAGTGCTGGGCCAGCTGCTGGTCACGGTGGGTCGCGTGTCCTTCTCTATGCTCAACTACATCTCCCTGGGCTTCCTCATCTTCAGCCTGGGCCTCTCCCTCTTCCTGAAGCGCCCCAAGCGCAGCCTCTTCTTCAACCGCAGCGTGCCTGTGTGGGGGGCCTCGCCCTGCGAGCTGGACCAGATGCACCCGGGTGCGGGCCGGCCGGAAGCCCACGGGAAGCTGGGGCGCATGCTGCACACCTGCAGGGACTCCTTCCTGGTGCGCATGCTGTACCAGCTGGGGGCCAGCCTGCATCTGCCGCAGCTGCGCCTCTGGTCCCTCTGGTGGATCTTCAACTCGGCTGGCTACTACCTGATCGTCTACTATGTGCACATCCTGTGGAACGTGGAGTACCCCACTACCAACAGCGCCCGTGTCTACAACGGCGCAGCCGACGCCGCCTCCACGCTGCTGGGTACGGTGCAGCCCCGCGCCTATGCCCAGACTCACCCCTCCCTGGGCCCATGGGCTGCCCTGCCCTGCTGGCCACAGCGCCCCCAGCCACCCTGACGCACCCTGTTCCCAGGCGCCATCATGTCTTTCGCCGCCGGCTTCCTGAAGATCCGCTGGGCCCTGTGGTCGAAGCTGGTCATCGCGGCCGTGACCGCCTCACAGGCTGGGCTGGTCTTCCTCCTGTACAACACCAAAACACTTGCACAACACCCGTACAACATCTGGCTTTGCTATGCGGCCTTCGTGATCTTCCGTGGGGCCTACCAGTTTCTCGTGCCCATCGCCACGTGAGTGGGCGGGTGTGAGGCGCTTCCAGAAGGGTCTGTGGGAAGCACAGTGTGAACAGGCTGCGTGGACGGGTTCACAGGAGGGCGTCCTTGCTGGACGTCCTTGCCTCTGTTGCTGGTACAGCTGCCTGGGCCTCAGCGTGTGACCCATATGCACCACATGATCACACATGCACTCATACCACAGTACATACATACACGCATGCGCCCCATGCTCACATGTGTATTCATTGCACCACACAGTCACCATGTATCCACTGCACACATACCACATGCCACACCCCCACAGCATGGTGCATACACGCGTGCACCATACAGACCCATGCACATGTACACCACACGCTCACATATGCACACCCCACGCACATGCTCACAACACATACAGATGCATAAATACACATGTGCACACATCACAGATACCACATAGAGCCACACATGCACACCACTCACGCACACACCCACCATTCGTGCACACGGGCTCGCCCACACAGGCCCGAGCCTTCCCTGGCCTCCCACTCCCTTCCCCCCTGGGGAAGTTTGCCCACCTGCTCCCCACCTGGCCTCCCTCCTGCTCCTGACCTCTGGAATCGTCCCTTCCACCCTTCCAGGGTGTGGCCTACCCCTACGCCTTGCTGGGACTGCCCAGTGCCCGTACTTCTCTGTCCTGCACACCTGCACACGCTGTCCCTGGCGCAGGAAGCCTGGGCCTAACGGCATGCCCAGGGACTGCCTCTGTGGCACTGGCCCACGTGCGCCTTTGCCTTTTCTGTGAGAGTCCCATGCCTCCGCCCCTAGCGCACTCTTCTAATGCACTGAGTACTTAACCACGGCCAACCTTCGTCCCACCCTTCCCTCCGCGCCTGCTTCCTGGGATGCGGGTTTTCCCAGCGTTCTGTAGCAGGCCCTCCAGGCATCTTCCTCACTTGTAGCACCCATTCTGCTGCTGGATGGGGCCAGATTCAGAGCGGGTGCTGGGGGTGGGCATCCTGGGCTCTGCTGCAGGGAGGGGAGGGGCTGAGAACGGCTGAGGGCCTGGGGGTGGGGTGGGGTGGGGCTATGTGCCTGGGCGGGGCCTTGGGGGCAGAACTATCTGAGCCATATTTTTGCTGGGGTGGGGCTTGCGCTGGGCGGGGCTTGCGGGAGCTGGTGGTGAGCTGGTGGTGGGGCTGTGCACCCTGGGGACCCGGCTGTAGCCCTGCTCTCCAGCAGGTCCCCACCAGGGTGGGCAGCTGGAGCCCACCGGGCCCTGGCTCCTGTCCCTCCCCATAGAGTCTGACCATTGCCTTCTCTTCCCAGTTTCCGGATCGCATCTTCCCTGTCTAAAGAGCTGTGTGCACTGGTCTTCGGGATCAACACATTCCTGGCCACCGTTCTCAAGACCTGCATCACACTGGTGGTCTCTGACAAGCGGGGCCTGGGCCTCCCTGTCCACTCACAGGTGAGCCCAGGTCAGAGTTGCGTCTTCCGGAGGGAAGCATCTTGGGATCCCAGCAGAGCCTTCCGGTGTCCACTTGGACCCCCTCGCAGACCCAGGCCGCATATCCCCTGCTGCGGGTGGGGCCTCTACCCACCAGGTGTCCATCCGAGCTGTCACTGCTCAGCCCGGGTTGTACTGTCCCCAGTGAGACCCTGGACCTCCAGGGGGCCTGGGTGCCAGTCTCGAAGGAGGAGAGGCCCCTCAGGCTGTGTGGCCCTGCACTGGCCTGTGTTGTCACCGCCCACCCAGCCTCTGTCATCTCTGCCTGTGGTTGTCAGGGCCTGGTGGCCTTGAGCCCCGGTTGGGGGACAGGAGCGTGTTTCTGCAGGCAGGAAACCGAGCAGAGCCCAGAAGCTCCCTCTGGGCTGCCTCAGTGAGCCAGCCGCTCAGGGTGCCGCCCCGACCTACCCCAGGCAAGTTCTCTGGTGTTTCTGAGAAGAGCTCAGGAACTCGACCAGTGAGCGATGTGGAGACATTTGCACATTAACTCCTGGTGTTTGGCTGAGGCCAGGTCTCAGCCAACTGAAGTTAGCCAGGCGCTGGACTCCTGGGAGGGATGTACCAGGCTGTTCCTGACTCCCCAGCCGGGCAGCGCCCTCTGCTGGCCTGGAGGAGGCCTTTGTCCTGCTCAGCTCGAGCTGAGCAAGGGGCTGTGATCTTTGCTCCGTTGATGCCTGGGGACCTCAGAGGTGCCTGCCAGTCAGCACGGCCTGATGGCTGCAGTCTCAGCATCGAGTCCCGCTGCTCAGGAAGGAGGCAGAGGCAGGCCAGACTCACCTGGGCCGCGAAGTGCCTTTCGATGAAGATGCCAGAGCCTGTCGGGCTGGGCAGAGCCCTTCCGGTGCCTGTCCCCTGTGGGCTGGACCCAGGACTCCCGGGCCTCGCGAGGTTCCCGGGTCCATGTGAGTGGGGGTAGTGGAGCCTTCTCAGGCAGCTGTTCCTGGAGGCACAGGAGCCTCACTGGGGCTGCCCTGCCAGGTGGGTGGAGCCAGCAGCCACCCCCTGCCCTGCGATGGGGAGAATGGCAGGGTGGGAGTGCAGGCCAGAGGCTGAGCCGTGCGGGCCTGGGGCCAGCCTGGCCTTGCTTGTTTTGTAAATTAAATTTCGTCTGGGGGGAATGTGACATTGGCACGCAGTTTAAGACCAAGGCAGCTCTGGTGGTCACATCTGGACATTGCATCCCTACAGTGACCCACGGGGCCCTGCGTAGGCACTGCACTGCCCTTCCAGCCGTCTCCTCTTCGCCAGCCTGGTCGCCAGGTGTGGTCATCGCAGGCAGGTTGTGTGCTGTGCTTCACTGTGTGCCCTGGAGTTGTCCTCGCGCTCAGGCCCGTGTGTAGGCTCTGCCACCAAGCAGCACTGCGGGCTGCGCATGAGCCTGGGTCAGCTGCTGGCCTTGGAGGCTCAGGTGTGCTTTTGGAGGACTTACAGGAACGTAGGTTTCCACTTCTCCAGGATGAGGCCAGAGTGGAGTTGCTGGGAGACGTGGAGCTGTGTTTGGTTGGAAGCTGCTGTTTGTTTCACAGTGGCAGGGCCATTTTACACCCCGCAGCAGGAGGGGGAGCCAGTCCCCCCAGCACTGACGACGTTGCTCTATTGTGGGCACCGGGCTCTCCTAGTTTGAGTTTCCTCAGCGGATCACGTTGGCGTCTCTTCATGTGCTGTGCGCCATTCATATCTCCTCATTGGTGAAGGGTTTATCTTCTGCTCATTTCGGATTTTTTTTTACAGTTTTCAAACTGTTTTGAGCACTGTTGTATTGTTGGCAGACATTTTCTTCAACTCTGTAGCTTGTCTTTTTATTTTCTCAACAAAGTCTTTGCATAGCCAGTATTTTCAATTTTGGTGAAGTCTTGATTGAACAGTTTTTCCTCTTAATGGATCATGTTATAGTCATGTCCAAAGAACTTACCCAGCCCCAAATTCAGAAGATTTCCAGTTTCTTTTTAAAAGATTTATAGTGTGCATGTGAGGAGTCTGTGGTCCATTCAGAGTTAACTTGTGTGTGAAGTGTGAGGCTCAGGCCAAGGTTCACTTTGTTTTGCTCTCCATACATCCATTTGCTCCAGCACGATTGTTAGCTTCTTCGCACTTTTGTTAAAACAGTGTGTTTACATGCAGCTGTTTCTGAGTTCTGTGTTCTACTCCAGTGAGCCCTGCGGTGACCCTTCTACCAGTAACACACAGTCTGGGTCACGGAGCTTTACACTAAATTTTGAAATTGGGTAGGCTGATTGCTGTAACTTAAAAAATCTTTCCACTAGTATAGTTTGTCTTCCTTTATACATCGTAGGGACAAAAATTCTGACTGGATTTTGTTAGGAGCTGCATTAAGCCAGGATATCAGTTCTGGGAGAATTAACATAGTATGTTGAGTCCTTCAATCCACAAACATCATATGTCTCCCTTCCTTTAGATCTTTGTTTTCTTTCATCATTTAATTTACAGCATACAAGTATGAAGTGCTTACATATCTTGTTAGATGTATAAACTTAAAAATTTAATTTTGGGCAACAGTAGTAAATGAAACTATATTTATAATTTCTATGTCTGCATTAGTGTAACTGGGCTGCTGTAACAATACCATAGATTGGATGAGTTAAAAATACATAAACTTACTGTCTCATGGGCCTGGAGGTTGGAGACCCAAGATGGAGGTGTCTCGGGGCCAGTTCCTCCTGAGGTCTCTCCTGGTCTGCAGTTGGCATCTGCCCCTGTGTCCCCTCCTGGCCTTTCGGTGCATGGGCCTTCACTGTCTGTCTTGGCATAAAGACAGCAGTCATGTTGGATGAGACTGCCCTTCCGGCCTGGTTAGCCCTGTTTCCTCTGCAGGCCCTGTCTCCACACTCAGTGACCTGAGCGGTTAGGGCTTCAGCACCTGAACGGGGTGGGGGGAGAGCAGTTCAGTCTGTAATCGTACACATGTGTGTAGTGCATGTATGTGTACTGCACATGTGTATAGTGCACGTGTGTGTAGTGCATGTGTGTAATGCTAGCACAGAAATACAATAGATATTTGAGTATTTTTCTTGGATTCTGCAATCTTGCTGAGCACTTATTAGTGCTAGGGTTTTTTAGCTTTCCTGTAGTTATGCTATCTGCAAATAAAGATGTTCTGTTTTTTCCTTTCTGGTCTGTATACTTTTTATTTACTGTTTTGCATTATTTTACTAATTAGAATTTTTTTTTTTATGCTTGCTTTAGATTTATTTTATTCTTTTCTAGGTTCCTGAGATGAGAGTTTATTGATCTGACACTTTCCCTTTTTTCAGACATCTACATTTAGTGCTGTACATTTCTCGTTCACCAGTGCTTTAGTGCTAGCCTACAGATTTTTGTATGCGGTGTTTTTATTTTCCTTTCCAATTATTTTTTTAGTCTCACTTGAGACTTCCTTTTGGGTTCATGATTATTTCAAAGTGTCAGTTTGTTTCCCAACTGTTTTTGAGACTTGTTATTTTTGTTATAAACTTCTTTTTAATTTAATTGCAATAGGAAAACACTTGCTGGGTCGGGGATTTAGCTTCGGGTTCCGGCACCTGCCTTGCAAGCTCAAGGTCCGGAGTTTGAGCCCCGGTACCAAATAAATAAATAAATAAAAAGGAAGACACTTGCGATTTGAATCCTTTGGAATTTGTTGAGGTTTGTTTTGTGGCCCCGAGTGTTGTCGGTTCGGTTGTGAGCTCTGCAGGCACTGGGAGGGATGTGCACTGTGCCGTTGCTGGCTGGCGTGTCCTGCGCACACTGCCCAAGCCTCTGGGGTGCTGTGGCTTCTCCTGAGCCCTTGAGGTCTCGTGTCCAGTTGTTTTCTCCCTGCTGAGAGGCGGGTGCTGGCCTTTCCCGGTGTAACAGCAGGCCCAGCTGCGTCTCCCTTCAGTTCTGACACAGCTTCTGCACGCTGGCTGCGTATGTGTTTGGCTGTGTGAGTGTATGTGCGTCCCACTGGACCGACCCGCACCTTTACTGTGCCTGCCTCTGGCCTCCCCGCCGCCTGCAGCCCCCTCTGCCCTTTCATAGCCTGCCGTCTGCAGGTATCAAGTGAGTCTCTCGTAGCTGCTGCCTGCTTTTCACCCATTCTACCAAGCTCTGCCTTACACTTGGCGTGTTTGGACCCCTCCTCCTTCACGTGCAGACTTACATGCTAGGGCTTGGGTCTGCTGTTTCAGGGTTCATTTTTTGCTTCTGTTTTTCGGTTCTGCTTTCTTTTTTCACTTCTCTGATGGGTTACTCGAGCATTCCGGAGGATTTCATTTGGGTTTATCTGTTGCATTTCTGTGTGGCGTTTGGCAGCTGCCCCTGCAGCACGCTGCCAGTGTGAGAGGTGGAACCGCCTCGCCCTGCGTCGTGGGCCCTCTTGCGGTAACCCTCTTGGTATTTTCCCCACTTGCCTCTGGAGCCACATAAGACCGTGTCACAGATTTTGCTTCAGCTGTCAGACATAACTTAGAAAACTCAAGAGAAGGAACTCTGCCCCATTTTGTCTACTTCTTTTGTTTCAAGATTCCTTCTTGTACCCTTTTTCTCTTTCCGGTTCTTTTTGCCATAATTTTAGAGAGGCCTGCTGATGCCATGCTCTTTGTTTTCTTCACCTGCGTGCATCCTGGTTTCTCTTCCGTCCCTTCTGTCCCAGCCTTTGCTGGCACTATGTGTGTTTCCATTTCTTCCCTGATACTTGCTACTGCCCACCGAAGCATCTTGTGGTGGCTGCTTTGAACCTGCCCATCATTTGGAACAACTGTCTCCATTTTGGGGTCTGGAGAACCCTTCAGTGTGAGATCCCATGGCTCTGAGGGTCCAAGCAGTTGGCCTGGCCCCGGCACCTGCCGGCTGGTGTTTGGGAGGCTCTGGACCCTTCTGGAGCCACCTCCTGACCCTGCTGCAGCCTGGGGCCGGGAGGACTGTGCCTTGTTTTGGCCGGGCATGCGGAGGCAGATCCCCTGGTCCAGGTGACACTGGCCAGGTGGGGTGGGAGTTCCAGCTCCCTTCTGGGTCCTGGGTGCTGTCGGCAGGGGGACATCATCGTCCTTACTGCTGGGTGGGCTCAAGGCCGGAGCCCTGGTCTGCGGGACACCCCGCCTGTAGGAACACGGCCCCAGGTTCCCGCTCTGTCCGCCAAGTTGGTAAGTGGGGACGGCAGTGAAGCGGCTCCCGGCCCCGACAGGTGGGGACGCCAGGCCTTCTGCCAGTGCAGTGCATGTGGTGGGCTTGACTGGAGCAGATGACCCCTGTGGGAGTTTCCCCTTTGCCGGGCCACCCATCCTGGTCCTCTGGCCAGCGTGCTGTGCTGGGCTCTTTTCCCATGTCTGTCAGCATCTCTGGGCTGCTGGCTTCTTTAGTCCCAAAAGAAAAACCCCGCAGAGCTCGCCCTGTGCCCATGGCCTCATGTGCACAACATCCTGCAGTGTCCTGGGGTTGGTCCAGGTCAGGGAAGAAGAGGGGTCGCGCCAACCCCGCTGCTCAGGAACGAAGCCTGGGGGGCGCATTTCTCGAGGTGGCTCCGCAGTGAGCTTTCCGGGAAGGTGGTGGTACCGGGGCTGAGGGCCCTGCTGGCACCAGGGCCATACAGTCTGCCGGGCTCTGGGCACCTCCGGCACAGCTCAGTCCTCCCTGAGTTCCGAGGATGACCCAAGGGGGGCGTCCCCAGCCGGGCTGGCTGCCCTGTCGGCATGGTGCGGCTTCTGTCCAGACTCCCTGCTGGCCACCGCTGTGCTCCCTGCCCACCTCTGACCAGAAAGTTCTGGCGCTCTGGGGTGTGGGCTGAGGGGTCCCCTGAGGAGCTCGACCCCACAGAGACAGCGGGACCCCTGGAAGGCAGGAGCCCCTGTTGGGCGTCCCCAGGCGGTGGGGGGCTGGGGGCAGCTGCTGTAGGACCCTGGGCAGTGCTCTGTGACGGCCTGGACTGTGGCCGGATGGCTGGCCAGTGCCCTGGGCTGCGGGGTCACCTGCCTGCTCCCCCACGCCCTCCCGGTCCCTCCCTGCCCTGCTCCAGCCTTGCTCACCTGCGCCTCTCTGTTCCAGTTCCGCATCTACTTCGTGTACTTCCTGGTGCTGTCCGTCATCTACTTCCTGGGAGCACTGCTGGATGTCCTGCACCACTTCTGGCGGAGCCGCCACCAGCCCTTGCCCGTGGTCCAGGAGTTGCAGAGCCCCTCGGAGAAGGCCGTGCAGGCGCTGAGCGTGCAGGACGGGGCCCTGGGTGGCCTGCAGCCCTCAGCTGCCCCGCTGCCCCCCGAGGATGGTGTGGGTAGGGGTGGCGTGGGGACCCTGGGAGCCGAGGTCGAGGCCTGACCCTCACCCCCAGCCTCTCCCAGCGGTGGAGGCAGCGCCTCCCAAGTCTGCCGGGTCTGCTGCCCCGAGCCAGGCCTGCATCCAGCAGGTCACTGGCACCCGGTGCTTGGGACGTGAACTGTGACCCTTGGGCCCTAGTCCTGTAGGAGTCCAAACCACAGGGCCCACCTGCCTTAGCCAGGGGCTCTTGTTGCTGGCAGCCATTGAGCCTCTTGGCCCTGTGTCTCACTCGCTGGTGGCTGGAGCCTGGTGGGGACACAGGGCAGCCACCTGGCTGCCGGACTGCACGCCATGCAGTGGGCCTGGGCTGCCTGTTTGGCAGGAGGGGTAGCCTCCCACGTCCCCTGGGCCCCTGCCCTCATCCCGAGGGAGGCTGCAGGCCAGTCTGTGTGCAGTGGCCACACACACTGTCCCCACCAGGTCCTAGCTTGGGGGGAGCCCTTTCCCCAGGGCCTGGCTGAACTGTGACAGTTCTAATCTGTCCCTCCAGGGTGGGTGGGAGCTGTCCCCAGCCATGGCTGTATTGTGACTCTTCTACTTGTCTTCGGTGCTTGTGTGTGTGGATGACGCTCTCGTCTTAAATGAGCTCACATGAATCTGTGTCTGGCTTCTCCACTGCATGCGAGAAGCTGCCGGGGTGGGCACCCCAGCCTCGCTGGCCAGGGCCCCTCAGTGTGGCTCCTGTTCCTGCCGTGAGCTGGTCCTGACCTGTGTGGAAGAGGAGCTTGCAGCCTGTGGGGACCGAGAACACAGCCTCCCATGAGCTGGGCTTGCCTGGAACACAGGGCCTCAGGGTGGCCGGCCTTCCTGGGAGCCTTCGTTCCATGGCGAGCCCTGTGCATTCCGCTCAGAGACCGTGTGTGTTGAGTGCTGTCTCAGACACATTAAACTGAACCTGTGTGTGTGATGGGCTTGGATTCCAGCCGCCTGGCCTGGTCTCCAGTTGGCTGGGCTGGGAATGTGGTTCCCATGTCCAGCCAGCCCACAGAGGGGCCTCAGCCCTCGCCCTTGGGCTGACCCCCAGCCCCCTGGCCCCCAGAGAGAAGGCCTCTGGCTCAGAGCTGGCTCGGCATGGAGAGCAACCAGAGCTCCTGGCAGGGGAGGGAGCGCAGGGTCAGTGTGGATGGTGGGCATCTCGGGTCTGCTGAGGCTGCGTACGGATGGCCCTGGTCACCGTTGGTGCCAGCCGCACAGAGCAGTGGGCCCAGGCACAGCCACAGAGCCCCACAAAGGCACCCGCAGTCCTACTGGGAAGGGGGAGCACTGTCCCCTTTCTGGCCTGGCCACACTGGCCCACGACACAGCTGTCAGCCTCACGGCTGATGTGGAACATTGCGGGTGCCTGTACCGGAGAGCCCCCTGCTGCCCTGAGCCCTCCGCCAGCAGCAGGACAGCTGGCAAGCACACAGTTGCTGTGCAGGGAGCAGTAGTGCTGGCCTGGACCAAGGAGAGGACAGCCAGCCGCCAGGGGAGACCCTTGAGAAGGGGGGAGGGCCAAGGACCTGGACCTCTGCAGCACATCTGGCCACCTGCCCACTGTGCATGCACACCCTACACGCCTGCACACTCGCGTATCTGCACATTCGTGGACGCCTGTGTGCTCCCTCAGATCAGGGCTTGTGGTGGATGATTTCACCCTTCAGTGACAGGGAAGGCTGCTTACAAACCAAGTGTCTGTGTAAAAGGCCTTTATTCGGTGTCCTGTTGAAAGGGTTCACACCACACAGTTACAGAACTGGCCCTGCTGGTTTCTCCCAGCCCTCAGACCACAGATCCCAGATCCTGAGGCAGGGAGCCCCATGGCTGTGGCAGCCCAGGGTGGCCGAGCACTCGGCCCCTATGGCAGGATGCTCTGGGAGACTACTGGGCTTCCGGACTTGCAGGCAAAAGGCTGGGGACAGGACACTGCCATGGCCTGGCTGTCGCCCACAAACCTCTCCTACTCAGCGGGGCCATAGTCTGGCCTGGCCTCAGCATCACCTGAGATATGCGCCTGAAGAGGCCTAATGGGCCCCCATGCCCAGGCGGGCTGGAGGGGGAAGCGTGGATGGACCACACTGGGTGGCAGGGTCGGCACACCACTGAGCTGGAAGCTCCTGGAGGGCGCCGGGTGGCTGCAGAGGTGGAGGCTGGGGGTGGGTGCCCTGGCCCGGTGTGGGTGTTGTCTCCCTGTGCACGAACATGTGCCGGGCACAGCCATCGGGCAGTGAGGAGAGACCAGGGGCTTCGTGCTGACTGGGCCCAGCCTCCAGCACCTGCCAGGGGGCCAGGCCCTTCCCACACCAAGAGCCCATGAGCCTGTAGCAGGGCACGTGTCCTGGGCCAGCCTGCTGCTGAAGGGCAGCTGTGGTCTGACGGGGCCCCGGGCACAGAGGCCAGCGCCGTGTTACAGCTAGCCAGCGGGAGCTGGGACAACCTGGCATCAGGCTGCTCTCAACTTTTTAAAAATACACTCTTTGGCTTCCTTTTATTTCTTGAGGATTACATGAAATGTGAACTACACAGGAAAGCCACCGCCAGGCCCTGGGCCAGCCGGCCGGACGCTCCCTGCCTGTGCCAGCCCTCACTGCCTCTGCCCGACATCCAGCTGCAGGGCCCTACTTGGAGGGCGTCATGAAACTGTTCTCGATGCAGAGGACTATGTGGGCGTTGCGGCAACTCGAGGGGCTCTGCTCCAGCAGCCTGCCGGCCAGCAGTGACGAGGCCTGGCCTGTGGCTGCCGCCTCCTCCGTCCGCCACGTCTCACAGTAGCTCTCGGTCAGCCGGCGCCCGCTGGGGTCGGAGCCATGCCACACACTCTTCTGGGGCCTGCGAGACAGTCAGATGGTCAGCCTCTGCTAGCCCTGAGACCCCACCCGGGAGGACAGCCACAGCTGGCCCTGGGGCTGCCACCGGAGGCTGCACAGCTGGGAGACGCCCACCCCAGAGGGGCTGGGGAGCAGCCTGGGCCAGGCCACCTGCCTTCCACACCCCACTTGATAAAGGAGTCAGGTGCTACCCGGCCCCAGACAAGCCTCACTTGCCCTCAGCTCCCCTGGGCCTGGGGTGGCTCCTGTGGGTGCCCCTCAGTGACAGCAGCTGGCTGAGAGCCAGCCACCGCCTGGGGACACACCAGTCTGACGCCCCGGGCCACCCTTTCCAAAAGCAGGAGGTGGGGCAGAGATGGCATCACTCAGCAGGGTGGGACCACAGGGAGCGGCTAAGGGCCACATGGCCACTCCTGTGTCGCAGGACATGGGGCCTCTGGCCAAGCACCGGGCCTGGAGTGGTCCACAGGCTCGGGATGCCCTGTGACACTTTCGGGCGGGCTGGGCAGGGCTGGGGAAGGCATCATGGATGGTGCTGGGAGCCTGCCCCACAGGGAGCCCAGAGCCACAGTGCTTGTGTCACACCTTCGGGGTCTTAATAGTCTCTGTCTCATCGCAGTTGGTTCAGGCTAGCCCAGAGGTGGAAGTGACACATGGGACGCCAAGCCACCGCTCTCTGAGCTGCCGTGCTGTCCATGCAGGGGACCTACCAGGCTGGGTGCCTCAGGACGTCCCTGCTGTCGAAAGAGAAGATGCGGGCCCCAGGCTTCAGCTGGCCCCGGGACCCCGAGAACAGGGCCTCCCAGCTGGGAGACAGCACCTCGTCCTGCAGAGAGAAGATGCAGCTCATGTGTGGAGAGCTGAGCCATGGGCCCCAAGAGCCCCGGAGCCCGACCGAGGCAGAGACCCCCGTGCCACTGTGAGGGCAGGTGGGCTCCTCTACCCTGGTGCCAGCCCAGCCTGGGACCCCAGGTCTGCATGTCCCCTGTGGTTGGCTCTGGGATACATGAGCTGTCGTGGCACATGCCTATAATCCCAGCACACAGGAGGCTGAGGCAGGAGGGTGTCTATGAGTTTCAGGACAGCTTAGGCTATGTAGTGAGTTCAAGGGCAGTCTGATCTCCATGGTGAGACCTGGTCTTGAAAAACCAAGCAGAAACCCCTTTCCTAATTTGGGTAAAGGAGCCATGGGCACACGCACCGGGCCCAATGGCCCAAGAGAGGTTTCCTGACCCTTGCATGTGGGAGGGGCTATGTGAGTGGATGCCCATAGAGTCCTGGTCCTGCCGCACACGGCCGGCACCAGGACCCTGGGGCACCATGTGGGGCAGGGGTCTGAGGCTGCATGGGCACTTCACAGGACATCCAGCACGAGGCCCTGCCCAGTCTCTCCGGGGCGTGGCCACCCACAGGCCTGGGACACACCCAGACACCTGGCTCCAGGCCGGCACAGTGGCAGAACCCTGTGGCCTCCAGGCCCTGAGCAAAGCCCTGTCCCGATCTCACGCCCAAGGCCCAGAGCCCACACGTCCGGGATAGCTCCAGCTCCGTGCCCACGGCTGGGCCACCCACCTTGAGGTTGACAATGGGCACAGCCCCGCGGTCTGCACGGCGTACGATGCTGTAGAGGTCCTGCAGCCGCGAGGACAGGAAGGCACGGAAGGTGCCCCTCAGCCCCACGGCCCGAGCCTGCTGGAAGCACTGGAAGTCAGCCCCTCGGATGCCATGCATGTCACCCGGCAGCGGGCTGTTGAGTGCCACCAGGTGGAGCTGCAGGGAAAGAATGCGCCCATCGTGAACCTGTCACACGCCACAGCCACGTGACAGATGCTGAAGGCCCGGTACGGCCCCCGGGAGGCAGACGCTGTCTGGGTGCCGCAGGCCCAGGAGGCAGCCTGAGTGGCTCTGACACCCCACACTGAGCACTCGGGCAGCCCTGACCAGTCAGGGCCTTGACCCACACCCCCAGGACCAAGGGGTGGGTCGTGCCTGCCCCGGGCTGCTCACCACTGGCTGGAAGTCGTGGTGGGTGTGGGTGGGCAAGCTCGTCGGACTGGCAGGCCGGAGATGCATGTAGGCACCGTGGCGGTGTGGGGCTCCGGGGTAGGGCTGGGGGGCTGGCAGGCGCGGGGGGCTGGCCAGGATGTCATCCGCCCGCCAGGGCCGCGCAGTGGAGTAGGAGTGCTCCCGCCGCGGGTACGGGCCGCCCCCGTGCAGCTGCACCAGCGGGGGCTGCAGGGCGGCCACCTCATTGTCCTGCAGTGGAGGACAGTGCCATGGACAGGGGACCCTGCACGGTGACCCGCTGCTGCTGTCCCTTCTACAGCCAAGGCTGGACTTCCTGACCCCATGCCGCCCCCGACTGCTCAGCCCCCGGCCCTCTTAGCACCTTTCTGCCCATCTGCCCATCCGCCCAGCCTTATCTAGCCACCTGCTGGTCTGTCCACCCACCCACCACCCACCCATCTCCTATTCCTGTGGCTGGCACTGTGGGCGAGGGAAGCCAGAGGCACAGGAGATGTGGTTTGGCCCACGACACCTATTCCAGGGAGGGCGCTGAGTGGCAGACCCTGAAGCACAGGGCCGGACAGGGGGCATGGACGCCCGCAGATTCTCCTGTCTGACTGCTTTTTCCAGCGGGGACCACTGGAGTCACACGCTGCAAGCACCAAGAGTGTTCGGGACACAAGGGGCCTTGCTGTCTCACAGCCCCTGGCCGCCAGCGTCCTGCACAGTCGGTTCCTTCCTTACCGTAGCACTAGGCAGTGGCATCCGAGCCTCCAGCTGGAAGGAAGTGGCAGGGTTACTCCAGTGGGTCTGAGGGCAGCCACAGGCCGGGCCCCCACATGGCCCTGGAACGAGGGCCAGGCTACACCCCAACCCCAATGCCAGCACCAACACCAGCACTAGTGCATGGTGGGTGCAGGGCTGAGCCCGCCGCCTCCCTGGGCCCAGGGCCCAGTTTCGGGCTCCCTTTCTGCCCAGAGGGCGCTGCAGAGTCCAATCAACTCTACCCCTCAGTGTGGACAGAGGCCCCACAGGCAAAATGGGTTGTTCGAGGTGCAGGGCTGGCTGTCCCATGCCTCACGTGGGCCACACCAAGGAGAAGTCTGTCCTGGCCGATTAGGACAGGGGCCCTGGATTGGAGAAGGCAGGAACAGGCCCGAGGCTGGATGAGCAACCTCAGGGTTGTAGAGGAGCCAGGCCTGCAGGCCCAGGACCTGGGGCATTCCGGGGCCTTGGTGTTCTCGGGTGGTATTCACAATGCACCATTGTGAAACTAAACCCAGCCCCACCCTGGGGCCCCAAGAGCCAGTCCTGTCCTCACAGACTCCTGGGTGGGCCTCGCCTTGCCTGGACAGGGGTGTGCAGGCCTCTATCTGCACTCTGCCCTTCTGAGGCACCTGCAAGTCCAGGTGAGGGCGTGCGTGTAGCACACGCAAATTAGCTCAGTGGTTCTGCTGCCTGCCTTGAAAGTTCAAGGTCCCAAGTTTGATCCCTGGTACCAAAAAAACAAAAAAACCCCCAAGACACTCATGAGCCTGAAACTGCTGGAAACACAGTTGCTAACTCTTTAAGAACCCAGGAAGCGTGCCGAGCCTGGCAGGCAGCAGCTCCTCCTTGCAGGGTGGAGAGGGGGCCGTGACCCCAGAACTCACCAGAACCTTGCGGACCCCATTTCGGACACGGACGTAGAGCGCCTCATCCTCGGCCACGAAGAGGAGCCAGCCCTCCGGCACCTCGTGCACCTTCTCCAGCATGGCCTCGTAGGAGGCCCAGGCCCTCACCTGTGGGGCCCAGTGGTGAGTACTGCACCCCGGGTGAGGTGGCAGGGCCTGGGCCTCCAGGAGGGTGGGGAGGGTGCACCGTCGGGGAGACCCAGCCCTTCCTGGGCCCCGGCTCCCTCCAGCCACCTGACTACTTACCCCTGAGGAGGTGCCCATGGTCCCTGGGGGCCCTGGGGGCCCTGGGGGGCCAGGGGGGCCGGGAACGCTGACAGCTACAGGAGGAAAAGCAGGTTAGGCTGCGGGCCACACAGGCAGCCTGGGGACAAGGCTGTGCCGCCCCCTGGTCCCCTACACTTACTCTGCCTGTGCGGGCCGGGAAATGAGGGGGGCCCGGGGGGCCCGGGGGGGCCGGGGGGGCCCTGGCGCCCCTCATAGCCAATGCCCGGAGGTCCCTGAGGGCCAGGCGGGCCAGGCGGGCCCTGGATGCTGTCTCCCTTGGGACCCTAGGAGGATAGCAAACCCCGTCACCTCAGCCCGGGTCCTCAGGACGGCAGCCGGGCCCCTGGGTCCTTGGGCACAGGAATGAGGCTTTGCCCTAGGTTCTGCTCAGCGGGCTCAGAGCTGGGGACAGCGACGGATGGGGCCCGGCCCGGCCCCAGAAGAGCAGCGTGAGATGCGAGTGGGCGCTGAGTGCCCCAGGAGGCCGTGCCGGCCCCCACAGGCCAGGCTTACCGGGATGCCGGGGGGCCCGGGGTACCCGGGGGGGCCGGGGACACTGGAGCCGAAGATGCCGCCACTGGCCCCGGGCGTGCCCATCTGGCCCTTCTGTCCGGCGTCCCCACGGTCCCCTTTCTCTCCCTGTGGGTGGGCGGCACAGGTGAGCTAGCTGCACGCTGCGGCCCGTGGGAGCCCAGCCCAGGGACGTGACCCACCTTCATCTCAGCTCCCAGGCGGAGGAGGTCCAGGGGGAACTGCCCTGTGGGCGGGAGCGAGAGGTGAGGCGGGCCGGGGCGGAGTGGACAGCGGCCCGGCGCCCTCCTGCCAGCCGCCAGCGGTGCTTGTGAGCGCTTTACCCTGTGTACCCCGCTCACGGGCGTTTTCACCTCTGGCTTTGTCTCATCACTGACATTTCTAAGCCGCCCTGCTTTGGTGGCAGCTGGGTCCGGGTCAGCTCTGACACTGGTCCGCACACCCTGCTGGGTCCCGCTGTGCCCCTCTGGGCCACGGAGACCCTCAGAGACCTCTCCCGGCCACTCCTCTGTCAGTCCCACAGGCCTCTGATGCCGTCAGGATTGCAAAGAGCCAGCTTTAAGCTTTGGGCTGCTGATGCATTTAACTTTCCTTCATTTATCTCTGGCCTCTCACACTCCTTCCCGTCTACTTTCATCAAACATTTGCTGACCTCCTGAGCTGCCTGCAGGGCTGGGAACTTGCTACCGAAGGCTGTGACCTGTGAAATAAGGGCTGGCCCAGCCCCTTTCCTCCCAGGGAGAGCACCTTTCGGCGGACTGCGACTTGGGGGCCCTGGCCTTCAGCGGTCCCTGCCCGTGGGGAGCCTTCTCCCCCCCAGAAAGCCCCTGTGGTAGGAGCCCAGCTCCGGGCTCTGCCCCAAAGCTGCACCCTCCACTCCCTGAGAAGGCGCTGACAGTGGCTCCAGGTCTGAGGGCACGCCGCACAGTGTGTCATCGGGGCGGGGGTGCCTGTCTGCCTCGGGCCTCAGCTCTGGGCTGCCCTGGGCCCCGCAGCACTGGCTGTGGGTGTGCGGGCCAGTGTGCCGCAGACAAGCTCAGAGGACCCAGCATGCGGCCTGCGGCACGCTCGGCACGCAGGCTCCTTGGGGCCAACCTTCGGGAGGCCCCTGAGCCAGGCGCTGCCTCCCCAGGGTGCCCGCGAGGTGTCGATGTCACTCAGCCCCCTGTCCTGCACTCCCCAGAGGCCAGGCGCTGTGGCGTCCCGGCCCAGGTGCTGTGGGACTCAAGTTTCTCCCCCCACAGTGACCACCAGCCGTGACCTGGACTCGCACAGGGTGTGGGGTGCCCTCCACCACGCCCGGCCTGGGCACGGGCGGTGGCGCTCACCTGGCGGTCCGGGCGGGCCCACCTCTCCTTTGTCGCCCTTTGGTCCAGAAGGCCCTGGCAGCCCTGGAGGAAAGGGACCCTGAGTGATTGTGGCGTCGGGGAAGGGCGGCTCTGGCCCGTGCCCCACCCGCAGGCCAGGAGGGGAGGACAGCACGGGCTGGGGACCGGAGCGGGGCAACCAAAGCCACGGGGGAGGCGGGCCAGCCGGAAGTCAAGGTGGGCCGGGTAGAGGGCACCCCCAGGCCAGAAGTGGGGCCCAGGGTGGGCTGGCGCACTCGCCACGTCCTGTGAGGGCATCTGTCCCAGGGGGGCCCCGAGCATCAGCCCTGCACCACCCCACGGAGCCTAACCTCGTGGTCCTGGAGGTCCAGCACGGCCGGACTCCACAAATGCCTGCCAAGAACAGGTGGGGTGGTGCTGGGGGATGGAAACTGAGGCCACTGTGTCCCCAGGGCCACCCCCAGGCCTCCGCGTCTCAGCTCAGCCTTCTCATGGCCCCAGTCCCATCCCAGGGCACCGGGACAGGACGCAGAGGCCAGCAGTGGAGGAGGGCAGGGGCTTCCCTTGAGGGCCACAGGGACAGCGTTGCTGTGCGGTGCCTTGACGACTTACATTGCTGTCATAGACGGGCGTCCCAGGGGGCCCGGGGGGGCCCGGAGGTCCAGGGGGGCCAGGCATTCCCTGGGGGACAGAGCGCTCTGGTCAGGCAGGGTCCCAGCCAGACCACTGACCGCAGCCAGGAAGACCAGAGCCTTGAGCACGTCGTGCTCGTCACAGGTGCCCGGGGAAAAGGGCGGCCATGCTTCCAGACGGTGCCGGGGCTGTGACCAGCAGGCCTCGGGGGTGGGGGGGGCCCGGCCCCAGTGCTGGCCACCTCAGAGGGACAGTGGTGAGGTGAAGGAAGTGTGCCTACCGGCCCACGCAACCCTGGGGAGCCACACGGACCCTGTGCCTGTGGGCTCAGGTACATGCGTGCATGAGAGTGTGTACACACAGGCGTGCGTGCGCAGCAGTGTACTGTGCACGTGTGGGCACGTGAGCGCCCACGAGAGGGCCACAGGTCGCAGTTGGCCCTGGGCCTGGCCTGCCCACCCCTGCAGGACACTCACCCTCACGCCGGATCCGAGGCTGGCATCTCCGGGCTCACCCTTCTCACCCTTCAGCCCGTTCATCCCGGGGCGACCCTGGGCAGAGCATGGGAGCTGTGGGGTGCAGCAGCCTGGTCCCCACCCAGGCAGGGCTGGACCAGCCGCAGCTCAGCCTGGTGCGCCCCATGCCTGCCCTCGGGGGACACCTCCCCCTTGCCAGCCCCTCTCCCACCTCGGGCCCCCTTGGCCCAGATGCCTCTGGTCACATGGGACGAAAGCTGTGTTCAGGGGGGGACCCTGGAGGGATGCTGCGCCCTGCTGGCTTGGAGCCCGAGCTCAGCCCCAGTGCTCACCGGCCGTCCAGGAAAGCCGATCTCTCCCTTGTGCCCAGGCCGCCCGTACGGGCCCTGTGGGGAGGAAGGGGTGCTGAGGGGTCCTGAGGTGAGGGTGTGGCTGGGGACCCTCTCCCCAACCTGGGCCTCTGGCGAGGCAGGACCCGGGAGCCCAGCCCAGGGCGCGGGCCGGTGTGGGGCGGTCCTACTCACTGGGGGTCCGCGGAAGCCCGGCTCTCCCTGCACGGAAATCAGAGCACGTTAGGGGCCTGCAGCTCTGGGGTCCTGTCCAGGGCCTGGCCACACAGGGCAGCCAGGTGACGGGGCCTTGAGCGGCCTGCGGCTGCGTACCCAGCCCAACTCAGACGTAAACTTGGGGTGGGGAGCGAGGAGACCCAGCCTCTGTGGCCTCCCTCATCCTGGGGCTCTGGGCTCTCCCACCCAGACCTGCAAGGGCCTGTCCTCAGGGCCACCAGGCCCCACCCTGTCCCCAGAGCCTTGGGCCCCTGCGGTGCCCCACAGAGGGGAGCAGGGGCTCAGCCTCAGCCCAGTGCGGGAGGCCCGGGGCCATCAGGAGAGGCTGTGTCCCCAGGCGCCGAAGCTCACCTTGGCTCCCTTGTGCGCAGGGCCCAGGGCTCTGCCATCGGGGCTGAAGATGGCGCCCGGCTCTCCTCTCTCACCCTGGAACAGGAGGGCAGAGGCCATCAGGGCCCCAAGGGTGCCAGCGACCAAGGAGGACACGGCAGCACGCGAGGCAGAGTCGGCCGCATGCCGTCCAGGCTTGTGGGCCTTGGGTCCCGAGGACCAGCCTCGTGGGCCCAGCAGGCGGCGCCCTGCCCTCACCTTGGGTCCCGGGGAGCCTGGTGCACCTTTGGAGCCCTCGTCGCCCTTCGGCCCGGCGGGTCCCTGGGGGGAGAGCAGACGGGAGCGAGAGGCCACGCGCAACCCACGTCCCTGCCCAGGGGCACCCGTCCCGTCTCCAGTCCGCCCCGTCCTGCGCTGCCGCGGGGTCCTGACTGAGCACAAGAGCCCGAGCCCCTCTGCCCACTCCCACCGCGGTGTCCTGAGGAGGCGACCGCCCAACTGGGACCCCCAGGGCACAGGGTGAGGGTGCTACTCACGGGGAAGCCCGCGAAGCCCGGCCTGCCCTGCGGGGAGAGACAGCATGAGCGCCGGCATGACTCCGGCCCGGCCACTCCCCCGCGGGCTCACCTACCTCAGGGCCCGGCGCGCTGGCCAGGGCTCGCTGTCCCGTCGGCGGAAGGCGACAACCAGAGAAAGAGGAAGGAGACACTTCTGAAATCACACAGCTCCTGCCAGTGACCGGCCAGACGGCCGACGCCAGCGCAGTGGGGGTCCTGCTCCCCACGGCTTTCCTGGGCTGGGGCTGAGGTCCTGCGGGGCCCAGCACGGCCACTCCGGGGAGCCCGCACCCGCGTGGGTGGATGCCACTCCTGGCCCCAGACTGGGGCAAGGTCCGCACGTCCGCCTCAGGCCTCACCGCCCAGTCGGCTGTCCTGAGGCACTGGGGTGGGCTTTGCCCGCCGGAGCCTCCTGGGCTGAGTCAAGGCCCTTTTGCTACGCCACCCCGTCTCTATGTTTTATTTTGCGACAGGGACCCAAGTAAGTTGCTAGATGGCCCAGGCTGGGCCTGAACTTGCAGTCCTCGTGCCTGAGCCTCCCAGAGCGCTGGGATCCGAGGCCTGCACCACGTGCCCGGCTTCTCCCAGCAGCTTTCTAGGCCTCTCCGCCTGCGGGCACGGCAGGCCCTGCCAGGCATGCTTCTGACCGCTCACCCTTCAGCCCAACCTGTCCTGGATGACTGTGCGGACCGTCTCAAAACGGAGGACACGGAGCGCAGAAGGGCTGGGTGACAGCCCAGGGCCTCAGCTCTGCAGCAGCAGCCCCTGCCCCGGGACCCGTTGGCCACAGATGCCCAGGGACCAAGGGGCAGCGCGGGCACAGGATGGACGCACAGCCCCCCAGCCCCGGCTCTGCTGGGCCCCAGCACTGCAGCACGGCCGCACCCTCAGGGCCCATGTGAGTCCTTACACCCGGCTCCGACACATAGACCACAGCTCCCGGGGGCCCTGGGGGCCCGGGCAGGCCGGGCTGCCCCACACCGTCCTTCCCTGGGTCGCCCTGGAAGAGAAGCTGCGTGTCCACTCGGAGGCCGCTCTGGCCAGGTCTCCAGCGCCAACCTGGTCTGGGTGGGCTCCCAGAGCCTGGGGCTGAGGGGCCCCGGGCCTCGAGAGGACACATGGTGGCGGGGGTGTGCGGGGGCCTGCGCCGCCCTGGGCCCTGCCCCGCCCTTGGGGACACTCACTCTTTCTCCCCGGCTGCCTTTCTCGCCTTTTGGTCCCTGCAGAGACAGAAGGAAATGGTCCATCATGCGCAGAAACGGAGAGATCTTCAGCCCTGGGCCAACAGGCCACCAGGTCCCTGGGCTGAGACTCGCACTTGGCTACTCGGCCACAGACAATGGTGGGGGACTTGGGACTCCAGAGGGCCCCAGGGCTGACCCAGTGCCCACACTTGGCCTGTTTCTGTCCAGAGCCTTTCCTGCCCTGAGCCCGCTGTTGCTCACCATGGGCCCAGTGGGACCCTCGCTGCCTGGGAGCCCGGGGAACCCTCGAGCTCCATCTGCTCCGACTTCTCCCTGGGAAGACGGGAACGGTCGGGGTGTCACTGTGTGACCAGGGGTGTGGAGGGCCCCGAGGAAGCCCCAGGGCCCATGGGGGTGCCAGCCGAGTTTCTGCTGGGCCCTGGCTGTGCCCCTGAAGGGTGACTGTCACCCCAGGGCTGGGAGAAGCGGGCAGAGCTAGCAGAGCCTGGTGTCAGACGGCTGGGTGGCACCCACGAAGACAAGTCAGAGCCTGAGCCCCTCCTGTGAAAACCCCAGAGGCCGGGGACAGGTGCTCTGCAGCAGGGGAGCCTGGGTTAAAGGGCAAGGAGTCGGCAGGGAGAGAAGGCGGACCAACGGCTGAGGTCCACTGTGTCCCTCGCACATGCCCGGCAGCCCCGGTCAAAGTGCAGAGGCATGGGTCTCTGGCCCCTCCTGGGGTCCCTCCCACCCTAGACTGACTCGGTTTCCCCAACCCAAGTAAGGGGACTCACCTTGTCTCCGGGCAGGCCGGGATCCCCCTGCGTGGACAGAGGGCTCTGAGTGTGGAGCAGGGGCCACCTGTACTCTCCCATGCAGGAAGTGGGGTCTGTGCCCCGGGAGGGACCCAGAGCTCAGATGCTGGCCAGCCCAGGCAGCTGAGCAGGGCCTCACCACCCTAACAGCACATGGCCACTGCCCTGGGCCCCACTTCACACAGCAACTCCAGCAAGGCCTCCGGGGGCACAGGAGGGCCCAGAGCAGCCCTCCCAGGTGCGCAGCCTCTGAAGGTCCCCGCATCCCAAGAGCGGGGGAGGCGGCAGGCCAGGTGGAGTGACACCCATAGGTGCCCCACGCACCCCGACCCAGCTCCCACTGAGGCGGCTGCTGCCCAGGGCCAGGGGAGAGAAGGAACCACGAGGAGAGGACCCCGGGAGAGGACTCAGGCTGCCTGCTTCTGAGGGTCCTTCCCCTCAGCCCTCCCTAGGCCCAGGGACCCCAGAACAAAGCCTCGGGCCCTCCAGTGTCTGTATCCTTTGGACCCCAAGCCTGGCGTTGAGGGGGCTCCAAGCTCTTTCCTGAGGCTCCTCTTACAGATGCCTGAAAGTGGGAATCTCACTCTGGGGCTCTGGAGAGGCACAGGGCTCCAGTCTGGGGTACTGGTTATTTTCCATCAGGCTTTTCCTGTGTCTGCTGTTTCCCACCATGGCCCCCCACCCTGGCAGAGCATCCGGACTCGACCACCCATGACGAGGGCTGGGCCTCTCACTGACCTTCAGTCCTGGCAGGCCGGGCGGTCCCTGCGGGCAGAGGATGCAGGGGCTTAGTGTCCCCTCCCCAAACCCCCTCCAGCATCAGTGTGTGTGTGGAAAACACCAGCCTGGCCTTGCGAGGGTGCAACCCACCCTGGATCCCACGGGAGGGTCAGGTCACGAGCCAAGCCCCACACCAGGGCCGGAGTGAACCCATACCCTACTTCACTCACACACCACACCCTGGAGCCCCACCCTGGCCACACCAGCCTCTGCACCTCCAGAGGCGGCCAGTACCTGCCGGCCACAGCAAAGCTTTTAACAGTGTGAAAGAAACCGCCCAGTTACAGCGCTGAGACCGGCCTAGCTCACCAAGGTGTTTCTGCCCCATAAAATCCCTCAGTGAGCTGGCTCAGAATAAACCCTCCGCAGGCCGAGCCTGGGGCCAAGTGCGTGCTGGGGCTGGGCTCAGCATGTGTCCTGGGCAGGCAGTGCCCGGACCTCAAGGGGGGCAGAGGGCCGGGGCACTGGGTGCTGGGACCCAGCAGGGGAATAGGGAGGTCCAGCAGCCCCTGCGCACCTCTAGACCAAGCCCAGGACACTTCGGGATTGGATTCCTTATTTACTGACCCTGACCCTGAGCGGTGCCAGGGTTCTAGGCAGGGCCTTGGACAAATGCCCGCTTCTAACTCAGATTCTTCGTAGGCCAAATGTTGGCTACTTCCCCAAATCAGAGCCACAGGGAGACTTCCACATCCTGCTCCCAGACAGACCGTGCAGCCCAAGACCACTGACCCTGAGCACCCAGCACAGGCCTGTCTGGAGGCCAGGCCCTCGGCCCTCATAGCCCAGCAGGTGTCCCCGGGGGGCGGTGCCCATGCTTCTGCCCCCAGCGCCTCCCCCCGGCTGGAGGCCATACCTGCAGCCCTGCGGAGCCTCCGGCTGTGGACCAGAAGGGGGCCCCGGAGCCTTCCATGTCATCCTGGAGGGGCACAGGGACATTGGTCTCTGTCCCTTCCTGAAGGAGGGCCCCCACCCTGGGGTCCAGGGGAGCAGAGGGTGTGCAGGACTGGGGGTGACAGACGGGCCCTGGCAGGGAAGCTGGCGCCCTGTGTGCAGAGTCCCATGGAGCCCTGCGGCAGCTCTGCCTGTTTAGCCACCCAGGGTCAAATCTGGGGTCCCATGGGGACAGAAGCCCGTGCTGAGGGACTGCAGCCACTGGTGCCAGGCCTGAAGCAGCCGAGTGAGGGCCGTGGTGCAGGCCAGGCTTCTGGGGCCCCGAGCTACTGCCACTCACAAATCCCGCGGCGAGTCTTGGTCCGGGTGGCCCAGGAGGTCCTGGGGGTCCTGGGGGTCCGGCAGGGCCAGGGGCTCCCGCAAAGCCGGTCTCCCCTGGAGAACCTTCGGGGCCTGGGTCTCCTTGGCTGCCCTGCAGGGTGGAGAAACAAGTCGCCACCTCTGGGCTTAGCTAAAGCCAGGCCACAGCATCTTCTGAGGGAAATGCCAACCCCTGAAACCCAAGAGAAGCCACCAGACTGGTCCCCTCCAGTCCTGCCCTTCACAGGGCCCCGCCCCAGCAGGCCAGGAGGAGCAGGGCCAGGGCTGCCCCGGGCCCACTGGCAGGGTCAGCGGAGCCGTGTGGCAGGCGGGCCGTGGCCTAGACCACAGGCCTCTCCCCAGGGAGCCCAGGCTCAGGCCTCCTGCTGGGCGCAGGGTCTGGGGCTGCCAGGGCCTGGGGGCCCCCCAGTGCCCAAGAGCCCCAGGTGTGGAGACAACTGTGTCACTGGCTCAGGGACACCTCGCGCCTCTGCTCTCTAGCAGCCCAGAGAGGACGCAATTGCCCGGGGCAGATGCCAACCCCTGCCTGGTGACGCTTAGTGGGATGGACAGGGCGAGGGCGCCCCCGGCCCCGTGGGGCACTCCCACCGTGTGTGAAGAGGGTGCGTGAGGGTGCCAGGTTTGTACCTTGGGTCCGGGGGCGCCCACGTCTCCCTGCAGGAAGGAAAGGGTTACAGTGAAGTCAGACCAGCAGAAAAGCAAGAAAGCAAGCAGCCCTCCCAGCTCCCTCTGACCGGGCCACTGTGGTGTCTGCTTGAGTCCTTCCCGCTCATCTGGGGCAGGTAGGGACAGGGCCCCCAGAGGCACTGGGCAGGGCCCAGCCCCGGCAGTGCCTGGTGCCTGCCTCCCAGGAGAGGGGGCACTTGGGCTGCACTGCGGCCCAGAGGGCTCCATCAGAGGGCACGTGCTCTGCTGGGCCCGGGAGGCTCCTGCCTTGCTTGTCGCAGGAAGCGCTTCAGGCTGTGGAGCCTCTGCTCGGCCCCTCATGCCATTCACAGAAGCCTGCCCGAACCCACGGCCCGCGTGCCCTTCAGAGCCTGCTCCCCACGCTGGGAGCAACACTGCCGCGGGGAGGAAGTGTCCTTACTCTTTAGCGGCTGCTGTCCAGTCAGCAGCAGGGCCAAGGCCTGTCAGAGGAAGCCCTGACTTTCACCCGAGCCCACAGCTGCCATCCGGGGGTCTCCCCAGGCCTCCGCCTGGGGGTGCATCCCCTCCATGGGGTCCCTAGGGTGGGCTCCCAACAGGCAGGGTACATCCACCCTGGGCACACGGTGTGCCCGGGTCAGCTCTACCCGGACAGTGGGAGGACTTACAGGGCTGCCTTTCTGGCCCACTCTTCCTGGAGGACCCTCCTTCCCTGGGGGTCCTGGGGGTCCCTGCGGGAGAAGAGCAGAGTGAGGCTGTGGGGGAATCCGCACTGAAGCCCGGGTCAGGAGGAAATCCCTCGGGATGGAAGTCCCCACAGGCGGGGCAGGGGTGTCCCAGACACGGGGCTCGGCCGTAGCCCTGAGCTGGTCCTTATTTCTGTTTCCGTCAGGTCCAGGAGGACAAGAAGGGCCAGCAGGTGGAGGGGTTCGCAGGCTGAGGGCAGGGGACCTCCCCGTTTCCCTGACACAGGGGCTGCTGTCTGTGCTGGTGACGTGGAGCCGCTCAACTGTGCAGGGCGAACACCAGGCTGAGCAGCCCGCAGCGGTGGGGACCCCCGGGGCTGCCCCAGGGCTGTGCAGGGCTCCACGTGGTCAGATGGGCAGGTGCGGCGCCCTGGGGGTCCCCACCCCACCCACGAGGGCCATCCCACAGGGTGGCCCAGAAGCGGGCGGTGTCCACTCCTGGCAGACAGGGCAGCAGGACTTACCGGGGAGCCGGGAAAGCCAGGGGACCCGTCCCGCCCAGGCACACCGGGGAGGCCTGGGGGTCCCAAAACGTGGGAGCTGTTCACCCCGAAGCGGCCGGGCTCTCCGGGCAAGCCTGGGACTCCAGGGGGCCCAGGGGGGCCAGGGAAGCCTCGTGGGCCCTGGACAGAGACACACGGTGGGTGAGGCCCGGCCGCACGGGGTGACAACCCCACCGACGTGAGCCGGCTGCGCCACTCACCCTGAGGGTCTCCAGGTCGCCACTGAAGCCAGAGCCCTCCATGTCGATGAAGGTCTGCGGGAGGGAGAGCTCAGCAGGCCGCCCTGCCCCGTCCCACCCAGACTGTGCTGGGCGTCCAAGAGGAACAGCGCCCCCCGGAGGCTGCCAGGGTCCCCACACCCGCCAGCCCCAGGCCCAGGCTGGACTCACCAGCTTGTCGTGCCTGAAGGACGGTCCTGGCGGCCCCGGCGGCCCTTGGGGCCCTGGGGGTCCTCTCGGCCCGACCCCCAGGTCTCCCTGGACACAGAGACGCCCGTCAGAGAGGCTGTGGGGCCCGGCTCAGGCTGGGCGCGAGGGGCGCCAGTCCACGCACACTCACCTTCTCTCCCTTGGGGCCCACGTCCCCCGGGGGCCCCGGGAAGCCCTGTGGCCCAGCGTCCCCCTGGAAGACAAGGGCAGGGCCGGTGCTGCAGGGCGGCGCCATCCACGGGGCCTCTGCACCCCAGTTCCCCCCAGAGCGGAGGTGGACGGCAGCCGTGGAGCCCGGGAGAGGACCAGGCGAGGGCCGGCATGCGGGTGACGCCCCTGTGCAGGGGGAGAGCGGCCGTCCCTCCCCAGGCTCGCGTGTGCAGGGAGCACACGGCGGCTCGGCTCGGGAGCGCTGAGTAGGCCCGGGGGCCGCACCCCATGAATCCCTCCCAGGCTCAGCGTGGTCTGTGGCCGGCACGGACCAGGTCCTTCTCCCCGCCTCCCCCTTACCGCTCGGCCCCCCGACGCTCCCCCTTTGTGCCTGGCAGCAGCCTGGCCCTCATGCTGTCCCTAGCGGGCGGGGTTCACTTAAGCGGGGTGAAGCTGCACCAGGACTTTTTAAAGGGCGCGGGCCTCACAGACCCCCCGTCAAGCGGCAAGAAGAATGGCAAACTCACTGGTCTTCCGTCCTCGCCAGGGTCCCCCTGCAATGTGCCAGGAAGAGGCCGTTAGTGATGGGGTCAGGCCACAGACCCGAGGGGACTCGCCCAGCCCCTTCCCCGCACCGAAAGCTGCACTGTGGGAACTGCCTGGCTGCTGAACAGGCGGCCACCCTGGGCCTCGGCCTCAGAGCCTCACTGTGCAGTGCCCTTCCCCACGGACCCCGCCGAGCGGACAGAACTCACCGGCTCACCGTCCCTGCCTGGGGCACCGTCATTCCCTGGGGGCCCAGGGGGACCCTGGGCCCCAGGGCCGTGCATCATGGAGCCTCCAGGGCCCTGGGGCCCAACCGGGCCAGGTGGCCCCTGAACTCCCGGCTCCCCCTTCTGCCCCTTCAGGCCTCCCTACGGACAAAGGGGACAGGAGGGCATGGGCTGCTGCATCACACGTCCTCCTGGTGCTGCGGTCGCACTGCCCGAGTCCTGGACAGGACACAGGTCACACAGGAAACGGGGCTGGCGGGCAGGGGACACGCAGGGCAGGCGGGCAGGGGCACGGGCCCCAGGGCTGCACCAGGGAGATGGTGAGGGAGCCAGGGCAGCCAGGGCCCGGCAGGCGGCCTCACCTTCCCCTGGCTGCTCCCCGGGCTCCAGGCACTCTCGTCCCACGCGTCATTCGAACCTGGGCCAGGAAGGGTCTTAGCTGGGGAGGAGAAGCGGCTGCCATCAGACCCCGTGGCCCCGGCCTCCGCTGTCCCCCAGGGGTGACTTCCTGGAGCCTCAGGGCTGGGACACAGAGGAGGGACACACAGGCGGCCACAAGGGAGAGAACCGGAGCCAGCATGGAGCCCACGGCCGTCCTAAGCCAGGCCCACGAGGCACAGAACTTCCAGAAGCTTCCTCCGGGCCCGTTTAACAGAGGCCAGCTCAGCCCCTGTTACTTCCTCCCAGCATGCAGCTGAAGACGGTGAAAACCAGCAGAAACGCACCCGCACACCCCTCGCTCGCCTCCCGAATACACACTCGCCTGGTGCACACACAGGCAGACGTGCTCGCTCATCCCTTCCTTGCACCCTGCCCCGCACGGTGGCCGCAGGGCGGTGAGGGGACGTTCTCCGCCAACCAGGGCCAAATCGACACGCCACGCGGACAGCCCACACAGCCCACCCCAGGGCTCCACTTGGGCCAGGTGTCCTGGGGGTCCCCTCCGGGCCAGTGCGGGTGGGAGCCCCGCCGAGGACCGAGTGCGGCCCTGGAGCCCCGCCCGCCTGAGCGGCCAGAGCTGAGCGTGGTTTGTTCGGGTTTGTCAGAACCAGAAGAGCCTGAGACAGCCAGGACACCGGAGAACAGGACACACAGAGAACAGGACACAGGGCCACGGCCGGTGTGGGGCGGGGCTCCCGCAGCCTCCTGCCCAGCAGAAAATGGGACGACACCGCGCTGGACGTCTTTTCCCGGGGGCCCTTGGGGGACCTCAGCCTCCACACAGCCCACTGCGGGATCGGCTGGCCACAAGGGTGGTCACCTGGCGGGCGGCACCAGCAGCCTTCCAGGCACTGGCTGCTCTCCGTGTCCTGGAGAGTCGAGGGCCCTGTCCAATCGGCCCGAGGCCACTGCGGCCGTCCACCCACGCCCGCCCTGAGCCTGCACTGCGCAGCCCCGCCCACCACCTGTGACCGCAGAGCCCAGAGCCATGGGCAGGCAGCACCTGGCCGGACCTTGGGCCTGAGGATCTGCCGCACAGGGCCTCAGCCACCAGGGGGCAGCAAAGCCCTTCCCAAGCGCTCCAAGGCTGGGGACTAAGCAATAAGGGCAAATATAAAACCCCTGCCTGGGGGTATTTAAAGCCACAGAAACATCACTAAAGAAAATCGAAGAAGACTCAAAGTGTTCAGGGTGTCAACGCTAACAAATCTTCTGACCGAAACTTCAGCTAGCTTTGAAGTCTTTCCTATTTTTTATGGACATTGACAACCTGATTCCAAAACTCCTGTGGACATGCAAAGGGCCTGGGGCACCAAGGCGAAGGAAGCATGGGGGTGGGACCTGCCCAACCTCAAGACTTGCTCAGAGTGACAGGACTCCTGGCAGCGGCTGCTGCAGCCCAGAGGGACAGGCCAGTCTCCGGGCAGAAGGATGGCGCCACAGACTGATCAACTCGGGGCAAAGGCTGTGCCGGTTCCTGATAGTGGCACAGACAGCTGGGTCAGGCGTGAGCAGGAGGAGACAGTTACTCGAGGGTTGTACCCCCCACACTGTGGCTCGAAATGGAGCACACACCGAAGCTGTCACTGTGGCTTCTCAGGCTGACGCCAAGCTTGGCGCCTGTAAGAAAACTGCTGCTCATTGCATCGAAACCTCTACCTTCCCAACAACACTGACTGGCAAGAAAACGAAGCTGCAAGCCTCAGACCGGACAAACATTTGCAAAGAGTCTGATAAAGACCGCGGTCACCTCACAAAGGCACATGAGCCCCAAGGAGGACGGGAGGAGTGTCAGTGGCAGCGCCAACAGCCCCTCTGCAGGGCTCAGGGCAGGGCTGCTCCCTGGGCAGCTTCACCTGCAGCGCCCCACCTGGGGAGGGCAGGACAGGCTCGGCCAGGCCAGCGGATGACCAGGCTGGTCGTCCACGCCGCGGCTCCTCTGCAGCAAGACAGTGGCAGGGACCCTGGCCCTCAGTCAGCAGAGGCACCAGTGAGATCCTCGGCCACGCCCACTCCCAGGCAAGGTTGGGGGGCTGCGAAGGCCCGAGGACCCCGGAATGGCCCGTGGTCAAGGGCGCCACTGTGGGGACGGCTTCAGCCCGGGTCGGAGCTGACGTGCGCATGAAGCCTGTGCAGGTCGCCGTATGGTGACGGTGTAGACAGCAAAACAGACGGAGCTGAGACCCATCTGGGTCCCCAGGCACTGGCGGGCCGACCTCGAGGGCCCAGGCAAACCCGCTCCTGACGCCCGGCCAGCGAGCTGGTGAGGGTGGATGGGCTCAGGGGCTGAAAACGACACGGGCTGGCAGCCTCACAGAGCCGAGTGCCGAAAGGGCAGGGCCCCTCCCCAGGGCTGTCACCGTGCACGCAGCCTCGTGGCTGAGATGCAGACCCCACGGCTCCAGCCCAGCCTGCTGCACCCCACACCGGCGCCCACTGGCAGCCTCCACTGGAACAGTGCCCTCAACGCTGAGCCGGGCTGAGCCCGGGCAAGGCCACCTTCACCTGATGTCACCTTCCGCCCGGGCCCCTCAGTGGCCCCCTGGTGACCCCGCAGGCCCCAGACAAGGTGGCATCAGGACACCCCTGCGGCTCAGCTGCAACAGAGAGCTCGAGACGCAGGAGGAGAAGCTGGGTCCCAGCGGCAGCCACATGGGAGACTTCTGGGCCACCAGGAACTGTGCCCCATGACCCGCTGCGACCTGGCCTGAGGGAGGGGGCCAGGGGCCAGCAGCCAGCGGCCAGCACCAGGCCTGGCAGCACGCTCCACCACCCACTCGAAGCTCTCACACACGCATCACTCACACACATCACACGCATCGCACACAAGTACATGCACCACCCACAGCACGCATCTATCACACACATCACAGGTGCACCACACACCTGCACTGCACACACGTCACACACCTGGAACAGCCTCATGCCGTGGTGAAGCTGCCGTGCTTGGCTCCTCCATCTCCTCCATCCTGGCATCTTCCACGCTGCCCCCTCTGGCCAGGGGAGGAGGAGTCACGGGCGGAGGCAGGGGGAGACCGAGCGTCTGGGTCATGGCCTGCAAGAGGGACAGGAAGCGGCCCTGTCACTCTGTGACGGTGGACGACCTGCTTCGGCGTCTGTTGAGCTCTGATGATCTTGTTTGCAGAGTGAAGTATTTATAGGTTTTAAGAAAGATAAGAAGCAGCTGTTGCTGCAGTTGGACGGGAGTTCCAGGCCTCTGCGGAGCCAGCTGCTTGGGTCTTCCCCAGCCTGCGGGCCGGCACCACACACCCAGCGGACCCTGTCCCCGAGCCTAGAGCTGGGAGCTGGGACGGGCCCTGCACGGGGCTTCCTGCGGCTGGGGACACAGAGGCCCAAGGAGGGTCACGGTGGGGACCCCAGGCCTGTGGCCCTGCACATCCAGCACGACCGCCTGACTTCCGGGAGTGGAGGGAGCTGGCCGACCTGCAGACCCAGCCCTGGGGCTGGGGACCTCCCTGTGCCACTCGTGTGGGCAGGGCTCCTGGCCACATTCCTTTTCGGTGACGACCTGGTTCAGGGGAGGACAGAGCAGCGGCTGGGCGCCCCTGGAGTTGAGAGTTGAGCCCTAGACATCGGGGGACTACAGGGGACCCGGGGCCACATCTGGCAGCTTCCGTGTGGCTCCCTGGGCGGCCGCATGTCCAGGGCCCAGGGCCTGGCGCGGGGTGGGCAGAGGCGGGACAGGCACTGTAGCTCCGGGTCTGCAGGGCGGCTCCCAGGCAGGCTGGCACTGTCTGTGGGCATCAGAGTCCCAAGCCCACCTGTGGCCCACGGCCACCCACAAGCTTTCGGGCAAGCGAAGGCCAAGGCTGCCTCAAAGACCAAAGCGACGTGGGAACCAGGACACTGGCCTCTCCGGGGCGTTCACACGCCCAGGCCAAGATGGAGCCGCAGGGAGAAGTCGGCCAGCAGCAGCAGCCCCAGTGCGGTTTCCAGGGGCCTCCTTCATGCACAGAGGAGCCCTGCAGTCACTCAGGGCTGTGCGTACTCCACGCCCCACTGCGGGGTCCGCCTCCGCACACCACACTCACCCCGGTCTCCCGGTGAAGCTCTCCGGTCTCCTCCAGGCCACTGCCGAAGTCTCCAGATGCCTGTGGGAGGGGCCACGAGGGAGACCTGAGCAGAGCCGCCAACCCCGCAGGGCCTGGCAGAAGCCTCACGCCGAGGACTGCCCGTGCCATTGCGTCGGGCGGAGCGGCCCTGGCGGAGACCCCGAGACACACGCCCGCACGCACCACGCATCCCGGGCGCCGTCCTGGGGAAGTGCAGATGGCTCCTGGCACCCAGGCGGCGTCACCTGGGACCTGGCCTCCCAGGCCCTGCCCCAAGGCCCAGCACCACTCACCCCCTCCTTGTCCTCGTCCTCCTCGTCCAAGCAGTGCACGGGGCTCACGCGGGGGTCCCCACGCACCCACAGCTCCGCGATCGCCCCCTGGAAGAGGGAGCGGGTCACCAGGGCTCCTGATGGCGACTCACCCCGTCCTGCCCGGCGCATCTGAGCCCAACGCCAGCAGCCCGAGGTGGGGCCTCAGCCGAGGACGCCGTGTGCCCTGCCGGTCAGTCCTTCCCGTGTGAGGAGACTGGGAGGCGCCATCGGGATCCAGTGCAGAAGGCGCCCAGATGGGCCAGCTGCCCCGAGGGTGGCCTCCCAGATGAGGACGCACAGGTCCCCTGGGCGTGAGCCAGGCCACCCACTCGGGCTGCTCCACACACGTGCTTAGCCAACACCCTTGGAGACAGTGGGGCAAGGCCATAGGTCTGGTTGACGCTGAGAAGTTGTGCCTCATTTGCCGCCTAGGATCAGTCCTGGGACTCACCTGAGGAGTGACATGGCCATGGCTGAGTCCACAGGGCTCTGACTGTCTCAGAGGCCACAGCACCCGAGGACCTGGGAGAGCACGCGTGCATACACATATGGGTGCGTGTGATCACGTGTGAATGCATATGATCTTGTTGGAGTGTGTGGTTCTGTGTGCACACCGTGAAGAGCATTTGGTCCTGTGTGAACATGGGTAATCATGCTGCAGAGCACAAGGTCCTGTGTGAATGTGTGTGGGCACGTGCATACGTGTGCAGTGTAGGCCCAACACCCCTGGGGCATGGGTCGGGCAGTGTGGGGGAGGAGCACATCCTGCGGCGCCCCCAGTCCACACCGTGGTGTCTCCTGGGATGGGACCCAGGCTTCCTTGGTCCCCCAGACCTGCAGAGGTGACTGAGTCACCCAGTTTGAGAACCCCAGGGACAGGGAGGGGCTTCTTGGGGGCCTGGGGTCTGGGGTGGTCTCAGTGGTTCAGGAGGCCTGGACTCCCCAAAGCCATGCACTGACCCTAGGCCAGAGCCCCACACAGAGTGGCTTGTGCCCAGGGCAGCACGCACCATGATGGATCAGGAGCCACAGATGGGCAGAGCCCTGCACCCGCCGGCACCGAGGCCACCCCGGGCTGGAACTCTCTGGTGACGCTCAGCAAGGACAATGCCAGCCATGCAAAAGCCACGGGACCCACTGCACATGTGTGACAGACTCAGAGCCGAACTGTGACACCCAAGGACACTGGAAGCCCAGGACACAGAGCACCTCAGGAGGGAGGCCCAGGGACACCTCCTGCAGGCTGCCCGCACACACGTGTGAATGAGCAGAGCCCACTTGGGGGGCCATGCCGTGTAGCTGCCACTGCCTCTGCCTCCCTTTGCCCATGTGCTGTGTTGGGGACCCCACGACCCTCTGTGCCATGGGGCTGGGACTCAGCCCCCCTTGCTCTCTGGTGGCCTCGGCTCCGTCCTTGGGCCTCCTGTGAAGCGGCCCTGAGTGCTCACCATCTGTGCAGCCAGCTTGCTATTATCTATTATCATTACACCGTGCACTTTATTTCTATCACTGCTGCATTTGGTTCTCGTATGGAGTGTGCACTCTGGACCCCTTGTGCGTGCAGTTCCAGCAGGCCCAGCACGGTGAGAACCCCACGCCGCTGATCTGACTGACAGGCAGCAGAGCTCAGGGTGCTGCAGCAACCGGAGTGGCCACGAAGGCCCAGGAAGCCTCCCTGCCTGCCGCTAACCTGCTGTGCAGCCCAGCTCCTAACAGGACACAGATCGGTACGTTTGCAGCCTGGGGTTGGGGACCCTGCTCTAGACCACGGGACGGGTGAGCCGGACTGGAGTCGAAGGGAGAAGGCCTGCGGCTGGCCCCGTCCTTCCACTGCAGACTGCGGGTTAGAGTTACAGGTGTCCTCTGCAGCCCAGACGTGACCACACAGACCCTGCGCACATCCCACTGGGCTTTGAAAAGCAAAAGGGCAAATGTTGACCTGGGAAGTAACATCTGCAGCATACAAGGCCAAGGCTCTGCCTTTTCATCTGTAAAGACTGCATAAAGCCAGGAAGGCAGCCAAGCCAGCGCCAGTGCAAGAACACAGGCAGGTCATCACAGAAAATAAGCAACAGAGAAACAAACGGCCAACACATGGGCGGGGGACATCTGGCTCCACTAATGAGCTGCTGGGCGCTACTGCCTACGTGTGGACAGGCCGCCTCTCTGGACGTGGCTGTGATGCAGCCTGCCAGCACCGTGGGCTGCAGAGGGGGCTCATGGCCAGTGCCCTGTGCAGAATTCGAGGACACGCCACTTCTTCCGGAGATGCCGGGAGGCCACACCACAGGCCGCCCCGCTAGACAGGATGATGCTCCTCCCCGTTACTCGTGTTTGAGGATCAAAAGGAAACAAAGGGACCTGGTTTGGTACCAAAGTCCTGGGGCTCCTGAACCTTCAGGTAGAAAGTTCCTGCCCAGGACTTGGGCGCAACTGGATGAGGACAACTTCAGACAGGCAGCCCGTGTCAGGGCCACACTGAGCTCTCTGTCCCCGGGGACACACTGGGACCCGTCTGGACCAGGCAGGGGTGGCCCAGCTGCGGACCGGGCAGAGCACTGGAACTTGGGCTGAGTCCGCACCACACAGGGCCCTCGAGAATGCTCCCTGGGGAGCTGCACCAGTGCTGGAAGACCCACAGGCTGGGAAGCAAAGGCCCAGGGAGTCCCTGGGGCACAGGAGACAGCCACCCCTTGTCACCTCTGGGAAGCCCTGCCCACACTGCTCTGGTGAAGTCACAGGGCTCTGGTAGTAACCCAGGCTGAGGCCCGCCAGCCGCACCAGGTGTGGCATTCTCTGGGGACGTCTGCCCTCCCGGGCGGGCAAACTCTCCTTACAGGTGTGCAACTTCTAGCCTCACAGGTGTGCAAGGCGTACAGAGGGGCCCGCTTGGTTCAGGGCCTCCTGTTGCCGGCTTCAGGCGGTTAATCATTTTTACCAAGGCTCGAGGCTGTATAGACCAAGGAACTGGGCTGTCCTCAGCCCCACTCACCTGGTGCAGGCCTGGATCGTCCACCCCACTTCCCACAGCCCCAGGACACATGGAGGGGCCCTCGTGGGCTCGGCCCTGAGGTCTCGGAGAAACCTCGGGTCAGAAGTCAGGGCACAAACACCCCATCTGCCAGGGGGACCCAGGAACAGGAACCAGGCTGGTCACCGGGGACCAGGGGCTCCACCCCCAGGCTGCACCGGGCAGCGGCAGCTGTGGTCCCAGTGTCAAGTGGCCGCCCATCCCACCCAGCCCATGTGCCACAGCAGGGCTACCTGAAACTTGTCGGGGTCTGCTCCTCCGGCCTGGCCCACGAAGAGGCCGGCACCAGGCTCCAGCTCCAGGCGCCCCAGGGACTGCGCGAATGGCAGCCTCTGGAACTCCTCACAGTCCACGTACAGCGCCACGGAGCCAGCATCCACGCTGAGTGCAAAGCGGGTCCACTGGCCCACGAAGGCAGGCAGGCGGAAGCTGGCAGCCGTGTGGGTCTGGCTCGTGCCCGGCTCTGAGTAGAGCAGCGAGATGTTCTGGTGCTGGTCCTGCACTCCTGACAGCTTCACACCCAGCACCACGGCCGCCTGTGCAGCGTCCGTGATGGCAAACAGCATGCCTGCATCCTCCGTGTCTGGCCGCACGTGGAACAGCAGCGAGAAATCAGGGAAGAAGGGGCTGGGCAAGTGGTACTGGGCCACCTGCCCGCTGTTGGCGTCCAGTCCGAAGACATAGGCCGGCCCGACCTCAGGGTCATCGATGGCCCTGACCTGCTGGGGCAGGGGCTCCCCGAGGAGCTGAAGCAGCCCCACCTCCTGGTGGGCACTCTCTGCAAAGAGAAGGCAGCGGGTGAGGAGGCTGAACCGGGGAAACCGAGTAAGGGAGGGTGTGTCCACACCCCTGCTCGGCTGGTCCTCTGGGCTCTGCCACCAGTGCCCACCAGAGTCAGCCCTGCTCATCCAGCCGAAGGACACTGAAGGGACACAACAGCCACCGGCACGCCCTCCCTCAGGGCTCGAAGCGGACACAGCAGGGACACGCGGGGAGCAGCACCCCCTGGGAAGGACTGCATCTGCCCTTCAGGAAGAGGGGACCCCAAGCCCGGGACCCCAAGCCCTGCACCCTGTGCTTTGTCCACACCGGGGTGGCCAGGAGGGGACAAGGGGAGGCACACGAGCTGCTGCGTCAGGGCCTCCTCCTGTGGGCATCTCACCCCAGGCGACATCGGCTCCCAGAGCTGGCAGCTGTTCTACCCTCTCGCTGCTCTGCACTGGGGTGCAGAGCTCTCCATGCCAGGGCCCCAACACTGGGGGCGCCCCGTGCAAAGGCTCACACCAGCAGCTTGGCGGCTGCAGTCCTCCGAGTCACCCCAAGTCACCCTGAGGCCCTGGCGCTCCCTGCATACCCTCACACCTGCCAAGCCCAGCGTCCCCACCCTCAGATCCCATCCTTCCCTGTGGACTGAGGCCACTGAAGGAGGACACAGGCTGCCGGCCATGATGCCTCCCGGCCTGCAAGGGCAGAGCCCACCCACACCCAGGGGCACAGCCACGACTGGACACAGGACAAGCAGTGCCACTCCAGGAGACCATCCCTCGGGGGCCCTGGACACCCCGGCCAGGCAGGATGGCTACAGCCTGGGCCAGGGGACCCGGCCTGAGCTCCCTCCACGAGTCCTGGCCCAGTCTGCCCACAGCACATTTGACAGTCACACGGGAGGGGACGCCGGGCAGTGGGCAGACCGTGGCCAAGGGCACGAGGCTGAGGGCAGCAAGGGGCCTGGCCTGGACCCTGGGACAGACGCCAACATCACCACGGCGGAAGCGTGATAACAGCCCCTTTGGCCAGAGGTGCCAGTCCATGCAGCAAGTTCCAGAGTCAGGGAGCCAGGATCTGCCAGGCCGCGTGCTAGTGGTGAAGCCACCACCCCCTTTCCCGGGGCAGTGTGATCCAATTAACACGCACGGGGACACAGCAGCTGCCACCTCCTGGGCTGGGATCCCAGGACACACAGCTGGATCTTCCCAAAATTCTCCCATTTCCTTGCCACAAAATTCTGACAGTTCCCGAGCTAGCAGCCTCCGCATGCCAGGGCCCTAAGGTCACCGGATGGCTCCGCATTACAGGTCCCTGTCAGCCGAGGTCCTCACCTCCCACCAGCACTGGCCCAGCTGCCTTGGACAGGAGCCAGGCTCCCTCCACATGGGGGCCCGGCGGGAAGAGAGGGTAGCCCCTGAGTCCCCGGAGCGGGTCAGGATGGGGACCTGACAGGGGGGCCACGAGAACATCTGCTGTGTGACAGCCGGGACCAGGGCCCAGTTCACAAAGCTGCCTGGCGAACACGCAGACCAAGTGGCCCACGGGCCCGGGCACGCCGCACCCTCCTCCCAGCGAGCAGCTGAGCCACGCAGGGTGGACCAGCGTCTCGGGTGCCTCTGTGAAACTGCCCGGGCTCTTGGCACCCCTAGGTTAGGAGACAGGACACACACAGGCCCTCACGGAGCTAGAAGTCACAGCCAACCCGGAATCTGCGGACACAGACAGAAGCAACTAAAAGCAAATCGAGAGAGGGGGAGAGGGCGGAAGCGCCCATGATCATGGGGTGGGGCGCTCTCCTGCAGAAGACAAGAGGAAACCACGCTGGTCAGAGAGCAAAGCGCAGAGACACAAAACACAGCACAGCAAGCTGTGTTGTCAGGAAAATGTCAAAAACAACATTGAAAATGGAAAACATCAGGCAAACGGACAAAGTAAGCATTGCGACAGCTGTGCAGATAAAACCGGGTCCACAGTGAAGCAGTCACGGGGCAAAGGGTGACACGTTTCACATCTGCTGGTCCCTGACACCAGGCACCACGCTGCGCGCTGGGCCTCGGGCCCCAGACACACGCGGGATCACTGATGCTCCGCCGAAGCCCCGCAAAGACAGCCCGGAACGGGGGACCCCTGAACAGGGCAGGGTTTGCAGAACATGGCTGCCTTGGTACACGGCAGTAGCATTTACAGGGCACAAAGCAGATGGACAGGACAGGACGTGGACCGCGCACTGACATCCTCATGAGTGCCCACACCTCCCAGGGGTACTTCTGACCACCTGGAAGGGAAAGCTCCTGAGGACAGGCTGAGCCTCAAGGCGGACTCCGGGCACTGCACAGCTGTCCTGGGACGTCAGGCCTTGGGGACTGGTGGGCCAGTGTCTAAACAACAAAGGGGAGAATGATAGATGTGTCTGCCCCAACTAACCTTCAAAAGGGAGAGAGAAACTGACATTCCCGGGCAAAGAAAAGGCGGCACCAGGTCCCCCACAAGAACGCCGGAGGGTGGGCAAGGGCATCCGGCGGGAACGGCTCACAGGGCACAGCCAGCCCCGCACAGGTAAATCACAGGCCCGCTGAGCTGGATCCACGCCACAGTGGCTCGTGGGCCCGTGTTCTGCTTCTGCATAACTTAAGAGACGAATACCCTCGAGAACCTAATTATCAGTCTGAAGCTCGCCTGCCTTGCGGTAACTTTGGTTTGTAACCCCTTGTTCTGTTTTGTACATAATTTAAATGTATATCGAGAAACTATTAATTTCTGCCTGGGGCACACACTGCAAAGATCTAATTACGGGACATCCACCGCCAAAGGCCTGGGGATACAGCTCCTGTGTCGTGTCATGGAGCTGGTGACGACTCAAATTTGAGGGCTGGGATGCAGGAGGATAAATGAATCCCCACGGCAGTCACAGAGAAGATGATGACAGGGTGTGCACAAAAGGCAAAGGCAAAGGAACGTGGACGCTCCGTTACAAAAAGCAACTGAAAAGAAGGCAGCAAGGCAGGGAATAAGGGCCCGAAAGCTATAGGAATACGGAGTGCAGCTGGCAAAATCAGAGATGTCCTTCACTGCCGTAATTACTTTAAATGCAAATGGATGAAACTCTTCAACCTAAAAGACAGAGAGACTGGCAGAATAGACTTTACAATCTATAATCCAAGGACGGGTTCTGTACAAGAACTCAGTTTAGATCCAAAGATGCAAATAGGCTGAGAGTGAAGGGACTGGAAAGGACGCTCCCTGAAAACAGAAAACAGACCAAGGGCAGCTGTGCTGGTAGCAAACGGCCTTTAAGTCAAAATGGGCTACAAGGGCTGAAGGAGGGAATCATGTATTATCAAGTCCACTACAGGAAGAAGATGCAACCATTGTACATATCTGTACCTAGTCACAGCCCCTCAGACATACGAAGCAAAGCTCTCAGAAGTAGAAGAGAAGCAGAAGGACTGCAGCAATGGGGCGGAGACTGCACGCCCCTCTCAGTAATGGACGGAACAGCCAGACAGGAGGCAAGGATGGACCCAGGGGCCTGCACGACACAACAGACCCGCCAGACCCAGACCCGCACAGGACGCCCAGCCAGGAGCACGGCACACACCTGCCGCAGGTGACAGATGCCACCTGGGCCACAAACAAACCTTAGCAGACTTCAAAAGACAGCATGTACAATAAGTCTCTAACCACAGGGAGAGCCAGGTAGAAATACAAATAAATGAAGAGGTGAAACTGGAAAATTCAAAATTTTGTGAAAATTAAATAACACTCGCAAACAACCAAGGGATCAAGAAGAAATCAAAAGAGAAATAAGAAAAACACTTAGAGACTAATGAAAATGAAAACAGTACATCAAACCATATGGGACACAAGAAAACATGGCAGAGGGGGATTTTATAGCCACTCTTTGTTAAAAAACACAAAGATCTCAAATCAACAACACAACTTCACATCTTAAGGAACTGGAAAGAAGAGAAAAAATACACCCGAAGGTAGCAGAATGAAAGAGATCATAAAGATGAGGAGGTCAACGATATAGAGAACAGAAAAACAACAGAGAAAAATCAATGGAACCAAAAGTCGGTTCTTTGGAAAGATCAACAAAATTGACAAACCTTTATTTAGCTAACTGGACCAAGAATAAAAGAGAGAAGACTCCGGTTACTAAGATCAAAGTTGGGACATTATCGATTCTACAGAAATTACAAAGGGCAACAAATTGGCTAATGTTGATGGATGGACAGATTCTCACCAAGACTAAAGCAGGAGGAAAAAGAAACCCTGGGTGGATCTATACCAGGCACAAGACTGGATGAGAAAGAAGAAATCTGCTTATGAAGAAAACCCCTGGACCTGATGGCTTTAGGGAGGTACCACCACACGTAAGGGGCTCCCAGCAAGCCCTCTCGGGCATCTGCACAAAGGATGGAAACTTCCTTGTTCAGGGAGGTCGGCACTGCCAGACACAGTCAGACAAAGACACTGCAAGAAGAGAAACCTGCAGGCCACCACACCTCACGAAGACGGAAGCAAAAATGCTCAACAAAACAGCAGCAGATGGAATCCAGGGCACACCAGGAGGTCACACGCCATGAGCGAGAGGGCTACTCCTGGGGCAGGACGCACGCAGGAAAGCACCACTGGGCCAACGCCACACCCACAGTGTGAGGAGCAAACCACACAGGCATTCCATGGAGGCAGGAAAGGTGCTGGACAAAATCCAACACCTTTCCGTGATAAAACGCTCAATAATCGAGGAGGCAGTGAGCCACCTGGGCACCATGCCGGCCACGAAAGAAGACCCGTGTCGACAGCACACACAGCATGACCAGCTGAGTGCATCCCCCAGGCACGGGCCGGCAAGCAAGTCTGCTTCTCCCATTGCCTTTCAACCCAGACTAAAACAAGGCAAGGAAGAGACACAAAAGGTTGCAGTCTGGGAAGAAGGGGAAAAATTATCTCTGCAGATAAGATGCTGCCTGTAGGAAGCCCTGCAGAACCATAATCTATTAGGAA